AATTATTTTAAATGTATCAAGCGGAAAATAATTAACCCCGATACTCCTTAGTAAATATTTATTTGAATGTAGCACTTTCTCTCTTCAGAGGAGACGCCTTATTCGCATTGCTTTGACACACCTGTTTAATTAAAAAAAAAAATGGCAAGAAATCCGCCGAATATTTCCAAGGTCCTGATATATTCTTTTCTTTTCATCACTTTTTCCTCGTTCTCCTCATTTTTATATTAATCTTATCGCGTCAAAATTCGACTGCCCCAAGCACTTCATTATATGAGTTTCCCGAGAAGAAACGTGAGCCACAGTCGTGGACGGCGTTGCGTTATATTTATTCACCAAGTATAGAACGTTCACGAAACGTAGAATCGCTCACGTGCATTCCCCGGTCAATTGTCACACGCTACAGCTCGTTATCTGCGCCCGACGCCCGTAACGACAATAATCACGGACACGCTGTGTAATAATACGATAATGGACAGAAACAATGGTGTTTCGCGCAATGAGCATTAATTGCGTTCACGTGCGCGCGATATCGCGTCGGGAAGGGAAAAAATAGACAATTTCGTCGGCTACGCTGGCCGACCGAATGATTCTTCCTATGCGTGTCGTGCGCGAGTCTCATTAACTTGAGCGGAAAAAAGAAACCCCGACGTACTTCGTGCAGCGAAGTGTTGCGCGTTGATCGGCTGTTGATGGTATCTTGGAATTCCTGAGGACTCGTTACGCGGGACGGTTCGATCGAGTCATCGTCGATCGCTTCATCGATTTCCCGACGCGGTCAAGCGATCGGAGCGGAATGTCTGTGTCAGTACGGGTAAATAAACAAGATATAAACGGCGATATTTTTCTTTATTTCTTCTTTTTTTTCCTTTGCGCGCGAATTGTCCGGCGGAAAGCAGCGATCAAATGTATCCCCTTCGCGCTCCGCGGTTTCATCCGCGAAGAAGTCAAAGGTGGAGGAGATGCGACGCAGATAGAGAATGCATAATTTCACTTACGTACGTCCCGTACATACGTACGCTATGAGTTTATTCGCGCGCTTATCTATCATTTATCGCGCGACTGCAGTCAAGGATTTTTACATTACACATAAATCATATCATTCGCCGCGGAACTTCCGCCCCGCCCTGCGGGAGTCGGGCGTGCCTCGCCGTAATAACGGAGTCGTGCGGATAATAAGCTTCACTTCCCTGATAATTCACGATCGACCGAATAGATCGACCCATAAAGGTGCGTATACGCCTACTGAACGAACAATGAACGGACAGCGAAGGCTCGCTGTTACGGCTCGGAAAATATATACGCCTTAAGCCCCGGTCTACAATAGTGTTTTAAGCCTTAAGAAATGGATCAATCACAATTGATTATTCTCTTTATAATCGATTGTAAGTGGTCGATTTCTTAAGGGTGAAAACACTTATTGTAGACCGAGGCTTAATGAATTCGAAGAGAACGTTTCACTCGGGTTGATTCGCTCTGGAGAAGGTAGGATAAAGGAAGTTCGCGAACACTCAGTTAGCTCCTGGCTGTAATTTGTTTATATTTTTAGATCCAAAAGTATATATCAGTCAGATTCAAGAGCTCATTAAGCGCTCACGGAGCTTTTTTCTTTGCTGAACGCCAGTCACCTTTGCTTGGCTACACGGATATATGCTACGTATGTATAGTGGCGCACCCCGTATTAGTAGTGGAGGCTCCCACGTCCCGTCTTCAGTGAATCCTTAGATCTGATTGGTATGTACTTTTACATATAAATCATATCATTCGCCGCGGAACTTCCGCCCCGCCTTGCGAGAATCGCGCGTATCTCGTCGTAATAACGGAGCCGTGCGAATAATAAGCTTCACTTCCCTGATAATTCACGAATAATTCGGCCGAATAGATCGACCCGTAAAGGTGCGTATACACTTACTGAGCGAACAATGAACGAACAGCGAAGGCTCGCTGTTACGGCTCGGAAAATATGTACGCCTTAAGCCCCGGTCTACAATAATGTTTTAAGCCTTAACCCATTAGCTGCCACGATCTCCATTTGGGGATCAAAACAAAACATAATTTGAATATAATTATACTGTTACACAAGTTTTGTGCATATATATAACTTATTCGGCCAAAAATTTCAAAAAAAAAAATTTGGCAGTTAATGGGTTAAGAAATGGATCAAAAGTATGACAAATCATGGCTGAAACGAACAACGAGCGCCAAGACTGAACATTCGTTTTTGATATTCGTTTGCTCTTCCATCGTGATTTAAATCTAATCGACGATTAGCTCAACGGAATTGCTCAATCGTAGCGAACAGTTAATTGGCTAATGCGATTGCTCAATTCCGTTGAATTAAACATCGATTAGATTTAAATCATGCTGATAAAAACAGTTCATAAAAGTGACTTATGAACCTGAATGACTGAGGAACTACATTTAAGGCACTTTTATTGATAAAAACGAGTTCAGAATATGGACCTAGGTGTATACGCACCTTAAGCCGGATAACTATCGACCATTGCCACTTATTAAGCGCGGCAAATGACGACACGCTCCGTCCGATATCGCCGAGCGTATCAGCGTGTTCGCGCTCGCGCGTGTAATTACGGAGAATCGAATTACGGATTTGCATAGCTCTATACATCATCTGGCGGCGTTTCGTCAAAGAAACCGATCGACAAATCCGATCGCGACAAGTGTCGCGTTCGGACGAATTTGCTGTCACGCGAACCTCCTCGAGCGCGATTATCGCTACTTGACATCTCACTGCCAAGTTTGCGCCTTGGCATTCGCCGCTAATCATCGGCGAGCTGCTGCTCTACGTCTTTCTTCACGGGGGAGCGCGAGAAATTCCCCGGAACGTGTCCGCGCTTTTGTCGGCCCGGCGATCGGTCAACGATTCCTCGGCATCAATCTCGTTTCTTTGAAAATAACATTGTCTTCTCCACGTATCCATCGCGGAACCGTCGTGCGAAGCGTGACGGCCTCGTTTAGCTTCGTCAACTTCGTCTTCGCGTTGTCCGCGCTACGTAATAACAGAACAAAGCTGACACATCGGGCAAAAAGTCAAGAATAAAAATGACAAAAAGATCCCCAAAATGTACATTTTGATCGATGATATAAAAGTCGCATCGCCTTTAATAAGTTTCACAAAACATCCGTTCAGCAAGGGAACTCGCTTTCAATTTTCTCGAAAAGGAAGATAAATTTTTGGGTAATTTAGAGCAAAAAATGAACATGATTTTTTATCATTAATCATTTAAAACAAAGGGCAAATTTTTTCGCCAAATATCGGATATGTTTGGAGATTCGTCGGGGTAAAAGTGTCGCAATCAGATCCGCACCGAACTCGATCGTTCTCGAAGAGCGTTTTTGTCCGCTGCGAAAGCTTCGTAAAACGGAGACTCGACGCCACGTTGACAAACGCGAGAATCAACGATATCGAAATGATAATTGTCGTTCCGTCTCAATGCTTTCGGCTCAAGGTGATCCGGCCGTGTACGTAAGACTTGCGCCAGTCTTAGGTCGGTATTCATAGGCGGATCTTATATTTAAGATCGTCTTAAAGTTCATCTTCAGATATTGCACGGCTACATTTCATCGAGTACGGAACATCTGAAGATGAATTTAACACAATCTTAAGTAAGATCTTAAATAAGATCTGACTATGAATATCGGACTTCTCGCGCGTGAGCTTTTCTATCCGCTCTCAATTGCAATACTTCCCTCTCCCCTCCCCCGATTCAACCCTCCCCGATTAGACGACGACACACCCGCGCACGATGTCATGTCGAAATCAGAACGATGACGATTACGTGTTCGTTCGTACGACATAACGAGTGCGAGCCGATGTGTTCAATAATCCATCTTGCATGTCGTACCACACCTTTAACCCGACCTGAACCTGCGCCGATTAGATTTAAATCATTCTGCTTTATTTATAATAACGTATCGCACGCGCGCATTGTAGCTAACTCGTTACGTTCGATCTCGAATAAAATCGCCGACGTGTTAACGTGTTATATTCACGAGCGTGCGTGCAACGTGCGACAACGTTAATGACGATTTGCGGTGAGCAATGAGAAAACCACGCGAGCCGTCCTACGCGATCCTGGAACGGGACAATTATTACATCTTACAACACCTGCGTCCGATTCCGACCCCGTTCGATAGCGGCGGTGCGTTTTTAGGCTCGCGATGCAGCGCCAGCGCTTCTAATGCGATTCTCGCGTTGCACGTAAACATGCGAGAACCTTGAGCGATCACAAGTACCGTATGCCGACACCGCTACTCTCGCGCGTGCACACCAGGATATTGAAATTAAAATACTGCTGACCGATCGTGAATAATAAGAAGTCGCCGTTTCGCAAGCGGCGGTTTTACCGCCACATTTCCGATCGCGATTACGCTATTCGCGTATCGTTTGTCCCGCGTCTCCCCTTCGGACGATTATCGTCCGCAGGTGAGAAAAAATCGGCCATTTTTCGTGAATGGATATTCACGAGCGACGTATAAATCAATATTAATTTATTTATCTGTATCTTCGGTAGTTAATAGTAATAACATATCACGAGACGATCGCGCGCGCGAATAATAACGGATTGAGCGAAGATCACGATTTCCGTTCGCTTCCGCTGAAATTCAATTACGATAGCGCACCATTGTTCATCGTGGGAGAATCTATATTCAGTGTAATTAATTTAATCTAGTAAACTCGCGAAGTCTCGCGCTTACACATACGGCGATCTCCGATCAGGAGATTCTCTTCCGGGCGCTCATGCATGAAGACGATATAAAATCGGTAAACATCTCTAATTGAGGCTTATAATTAAACCGCATCGCGACTTTCCGCCTCGCGTTACCGCCGATCTATTCCGAATAACGTGATAAACTCGCGAATAAAGCGTCCGTCCGCTTCCGACAAACGCGACAACCGTAATTCCTATCCACGCGCTAATTATATAATTCTCGCCCGCGTAATCTCGCGATTCTCGCTAAAGAGATATCTCTTCCAGGTACAGCGAAGATGTTTAGCTCGATGGTGCAGAAGCTGGCGTTCCTCTACAAGCCCTATGCGCTGGCCATGGTGTCGGTCGGCTACGTTCTCGGTGAATTGGGCCATTATCTGATAGGTGAGTCGCGGGTATGCGAGCCGATTCGATTATCCGCGGGATTTCACCCGATTTACCTTGGCGACCGCTCGAGTTTTCGAGCGACTGAAATTGCCGAGCAAAAATTTCAATCGGAATTAATGAAATTTCAATTAGAGCGAGAGCACGCTTCGTTTAGCGCCATTAGAAAACACAAATGAAGCGCGGAAAGCAGCATTTATCGCTAAGCATATCGGTAAAGGTTAATAAAGAAATCGAAATCAGATGCAGGATTGGACATTATCCGAATAAATTTTTATGTAGTGTAGTATTTAGAATTGGAATTTTTACTTATTTGCGTTGTTTTTCTTCATCATTCGTTATTTATTATTCGTCATTTATTATTGACATATGCACGCGCCTATGTGTGCGTATACATGAACCTATTTAATTATATTATTTTTACTTTATATATTACTTAATTTTTATATTATTATTTTAGTAGTATAGTAAAATAAGTTTTGGCGAAAAAAATTGATTTGTTATATCCATAAGATAAACAGAGAAAAACAAGACAAATATATGTAATAAATGATATAATAAATGATTAATAATAAATAACTTGAATAACGAATAACACGAATGATAAATAATGCGAACAACGAATAAATTATTTATATATTCATTTAGATAAATTATTTAAATGAATATCATTATTTGATGACTTCTAAATAAAAGTGTTATTTATACAATTATTCATTATTTATTATTTCAAATAAAATTTGCCCAAGTCTAATCAGATATTGTTCAAACGTTTTTGTTCTATTCAGATCATTTTTAATAAATTAAAGTTAAAGATATATTTAGCAATAAATACTATTTTCAACACTTTTCTGTGTTTTCTAATGACAGTAAGCAAATCGTACTCTTTAGCCTCCTATACTTTGAATTTTAAATATCTAAGAGCGTAAGTATTTATATATTTTTTTCAATAAAATTTCATTTTTAAAGTTAACTAAATTATTCCGATTAGTCCAATTAAAATTTCCGGAAATTTATGTTTCGCTGCAAGGAACATTATCCTGTTTTTGTTCCTCCGAATATGTCACGGATTTCCAATATAACGATCCTAATTCACCTGACGATGTCCCGCGGGCAAGGTATAACGAGCAAAGCGGTCGCCGAGGACTTGCATTACGGCGACATTTCCTGCCAGTTCAACTCGACGACACTGTCATTGGTCGACCTTCCGGTGCAATGCGAAGTCGCGAAGAACGTTACCTAGTAAGTCTAACTAATAAGTCTACTAATGACCACCTGCTCTAGAAACTTCCAGCTGCGAGCGTCACGTGGAAGGAAGAATCACGTGTAACTGTAAATGCAATTAATGGCTAGTGTTTCCTCCTCTCCCTCCTACTTCTCCTTTGACAACTCGATTTCCTTGCGGCTGATTGATTCATCGAGGTGAGGTTGATACCGCTAACTCACGCTATTCTATAATGACTTAAGATACCGTCGCGCGCGGGCGGAGGGATACGTGACTCTGAGAGATCGATGGAGCTGTCGTTGAGACGTTTCAGGAAAAATTACCGACAACCGTCGACGATTCGAACATCGCGAAGAATTCCGCGGTTGCACGATGCCACGGAACATTCCGGATCATATTTATCGTCATCCGAAGGATATCGATTAGCCGAGTAGAAACGTCTCTAGTCAGCCTGAATCGAAAGCTAATAATTAACTTGTACAGGCTAGATTAAATTTTCTAGCTAGAGGCTGGTTTGTTATTGGCTGATTATTCAAATGTAAAATCAGTTTTGTGATCTAGCCGTAAATACGGATCACAATAGGTGTAGGACACAATAGGAGCTTTTTACTCTAAGCAGTATATTGTAACGTAATTTCTAGCAAAAAGCGTTTCCAACGTTACCAGACGTCGCAATTCCTAAGATTTAAGAGTTACGACTGTAAATATTACGACTGTTGGCAGCGCAGGAAACGCCTATTTATCAGAAATCATGTTACATTTTATTGCTTAAAACAAGCAGCTAAAAGCTTATTACACCTATTATGAATCCGGACTTAGCTATCAGAATAAAAGCTCTTTTGTTATTTGAAGATCAGTTGGAGAAACCGATTGTAAACTTACTTTATGTTTCGTTGTTTCGTAATCTGCGAGGGAGGCAGATCGAAAAGTTACCTAAACGTGCATCATTTGTTATTTCAACCAACTATTATCAAGTCAATAGAGTCAAGAAGTGTTTGTTAAAGCAGCAAATTAAAAGTACAAATTATTTACTCCCAGTACGAGGTCATTTGTCGTCCCATATCTGCAAACATGCATTTGTTGCGGATAATGCTATTAAATTAACCAAAATTTTTCTCTCAGTGCGCGAGATTCAATTTCTACTAGGACACCTGACAACAGTCCGCGAGCATTATCGCGTTCGTCACTACCGCGTCGCGTTGCGCCTCTCATTACTTTCACTTCATCTCCTGCATAACGCGCTCCTCATTTATGCAGCTGCCAGTCCCTTGAGCTGAACGGGACTTCCTATTGTGAATGGAACTACAACGGCCTCGGCTTGGACTATCAGATCTTGGCGGGGCCCAGCTTCATCGCGGTCTTTACGGTCGCGGGCGTTTTTCTGGGCATCGCGGCCGATAAGTACAACAGGTAATTAACCGAGTGAGTTTCGCTATTCGACGAGGAAAAAGAGTCACACGGTAGGAATCATCACGATTCCGGGCTCTCTTTCTCGAACGAGCGATTTCGCTTAATTCCGACTTAACGCGTCTGTCGTGCCGTCGCAAGAGTGAGACTGCTGGCGGTCTGCACTCTGGTGTTCAGCGTCGCGATCATTTTGATGGGAGCGGTGAAGGAGTACTGGCAGCTCGTCATTCTGCGGATGGTCCTGGCGGCAGGGTGAGTACCGGTAAATGGCGCTTCCGCTTCCGCTCGCGTAACGTTAATCAAGCCGTATTAATAATCGAACCCCCGTGGGGCGCAGGGAGGCGGCCTGCAACCCGATGGCGACCGGTCTACTGTCCGACTGGTTCCCGGAAGAGCAACGGGGCCTAGTTATGTCCATTTTTAATTGGGGTATTTACGGCGGTTACGGCATCGCGTTTCCGATCGGCCGCTACGTGCCGAAGATAAACATCTGGGACCTGGTGAGTTTCACCTGCAAACTTTATCGCTCCTTTCGTACTCTTTTGTCCCTCTCTCTCTCTCTCTCTCTCTATGCCTCTCCATCTTTCTCTTTTTTCTTCCTTTTCTCCCGTTGGATCACAAATACAGAAATATCGGTATTGAAAGAAAAATATCGATACTAGTATTGGTAGTCACACAACATCTTTATCGGGAACAGGCATCCTCGCAAAAAAATGCAACGTGTTCGACAATTGCGTTATAATTGAACTGTAAACGTATCGCGACGCACGATCGATTGATGATCTACGTAATAATAATGGTGAATCGTGTTGATCTCGGCAGGGCTGGAGGGCCTGTTATTACGGAGCCGGTGTGATCAGCTTGATCATCGCCATTCTCACCGGTCTGACGCTGACCGAACCGGCGAGAAAGACGATCGGCGAGGAGACGGCCAACGACGGGAAGCAAGTATCGATTTGGAAAGTGATACTGCAACCGCGCATTATTCTCTTATGCCTCGCCGCCAGCATTAGACATTGCGGTAAAGGGCGATACCTTGACGCGAAAGGATTCAGATACAGATCGAGGGTATATTAGCGTCTAAACGAGCTTGCACTAATCCGGCGAATGCGCATCGCCGTGATATTATCACTTCTGTCCGAATACTTCTCATCTAATAAACCGAGATCTAAAACAAATATATATGTGTATATTCGAGTCGACGATACGAAGGGGAAAAAGAGAGAATTCAAAACTGATACAATTTCAATTGAGATTCTAGCTCATCACACAATTCGTTGAAAATTCTTTTATGAAAGGGAATACAATTTTCGTTATTGTATCACGTTATGCAGCAGTGCCATCCGGTCACCGGAACAAAAAGTGAAATAGTGACCGCTTCTTGGCAAAAAAGATGACAAAAAGTGACCTCCGAAACATCAGACATCAAAATAAAATAGCGACCAAAAATGGCATTTTTTGTCAAATTACAAGAGTAACTGAAGCCATTTGAGCAAAAAAGTAACGCTTACGAAAAAGTAGTAATGATAATCAGTGTTAAGTAGTGATTATTAGTAGTACTTTTTTATAAAGGAACACTTATTCTTACCTTTCCAAGTTTATCTTTGGATAGCTTAATATATAACGAGTTTTTTTCATAATATGGTTTAAAAGTTTATAACAAGCAAAGACTAAGAGCACGAACGATACAAGTACGCTTTCGAAAAATGTTTTATCAAAAGAAACGGAAAAAAATATATATATATAGAACGTCTATATCTTACAAATTTAACGGCGTCTATGTCTTACAAATTAAGAATGAAAAAAGTGACCTATTTTGGACGATATTAAATTTTTCAGTGACCTGTCAGGAAAAAGTAACGAAAAGTGACTTAAGTGACCGGATAGTAGCGTTGCATTGTGCATACAGGTTTACTTTGGACCTTTTTACTTCGATATCGATTAAACATGAGACTTGCCCACCTTTTTTAATTGAAATTATGCGATTGAAGAGTACCTAACGATTTGAAAATAATCACAAAGTCAGAAAGACTCTCATTCTCGACTTTTTCGGCTCATTTGCCTCTTCATCTCGTCGTGATCTCAGCTCACGTGACATCTGTTTTCGATGTATATTGCAATTCTGTTTTTTTTTTCTTAATCGCACATGCGACTACGCTACTCGAATGGGATCAAATCTCGAATGTCTTTTCTTTCAGGTGGCATGTGCTTCGCATACAACTGCGATCTCTACTATAGGGACTACTTCCCGGACTACGATCTGGGCTGGTGGCTGTTCGCCGTCACAATTGTCATCGGTGGCATTGGCATTGTGGTCGGCGGGATAGTTAGCGACAAGTTCGTGGCGAAGATGGGAATCAAATCGCGCGTGGCCTGTTTGGCGATCAGCCAAATAATCGCGACGCCGCCTGCGTTCGGCTCGGTATACTTTAGTCCCCTTTGGGCCATGATCACGCTTGGATTCTCTTACTTCTTCGGTAAGGAGCAATCTTGTGACACTCAATTAACACAACGTCCAAAATCCCGAAAGAACGGGAACAATTCCGATATTTGACGATGTCAATTGCGATAGAAAATATAGACAAAATCTAAAGAAGAATCAGACATACCTGTAGGAAATTTTCTGGGAGCCGATTGGAATCTGTTCTCATTTTCCAAAAAAGAAATGACGGATTCCGATTGAGAAATCTATGAAGAATCGGATTAGAAGTGTAATGTTTCAAAAGTGCGATTCTAAATGGAAAACCCAGACATATTATGTTTGCTCTGCCCAGCATTTTTCTGAAGTTTTCTCGTAATTGAGATAAAAATTCGGGTAATCCGATTATCTATGCTATATGGAAATGTTTGGGAAATTTCCATACGGTAATGTCAGTCGAATAAGTTATATTGTAGCCACGTCTGTAACTCGCGCGTGTCGTTTTTTCGCAGCCGAGATGTGGTTCGGAATAGTGTTCGCCATCGTAGTGGAGATCGTGCCATTGAATCTGCGCTCCACCACCGTGGGCATCTTCTTGTTCGTCATAAACAACATCGGCGGCAACTTACCCATACTCGTCGAGCCCACCAGGATGGCCATCGGCTTCCGGGAGTCGTTGTATATTTTTTACGCCGGCTTTTACGGTATCAGTAAGTAATGACATGGAACATTCATTCGCGTGGCGTCGCGTAATCGTTCGCTATTTGCAATTGCGATCGTCCGATTCTCCACGTGGAAGCCGTTGCGAGTTCCACGAATGCGATTCTCAATGGTAATTATCGACGCATGACACCGTAATAATAGGTTCGTTTTGCCTACATTTTTACGCTTTTATATAATAAGCGTGCACTAATTCACTCGTTTTGTCGGAAGTGTCGTAAGAACTTGCATGGGAAAAAGTTAATCTTAAATGAATGACTGATGTTCTCATATATAAGCAAGAATATTATAATCTTCTTGGAAGATTTCTAGTCTTGATTTGATTGAATTTGTATTGATGCGAGTATTACTCGAATTCAATTCAAGACTAAAAATCTTCCAAGCAGATTGTAATATTCTTGCTTGCATATGAGAATATCTCATTGATTTAAGTCTCCTGTGTCTCCACTTTGACTTGCTTGATGACGTCAGAAGCGAGAAATCGCATGCCAAAATATATTACGGTGTACGTGAAAGTAAAAAGAATATGTGCATAAAACGGCACTCGTGATAGATTCCGCGTACTTGTAAAAATGTCCGGACGCTTTCCTTTAACCTGAACTTTCAATATCCTATATGGATCCACACGAGTTCCCTTGGATTTCCGTGGAAATCCACCTGGCAAGTTTCAACGCGGGAACTTCTGATCCTTTTATGAATTTGACGGATTATTATTATCCAATATCACAGAACACGCAGGTTATGCGCCGGTTGAAGAATATATCTTAACTGACAGAACGAATGAGTTTTAGTGTGCACTTATTGCAAGAGTGTAAAAACTGTGAGCAACAAAAACCTAACGATACCAATACGTCGAACGGGTTCCCGGTATCGCGTCGATTGTGTCACTTGACGTTCTTTTGTCTCCCCCGCAGGCTCCATTATATTCTTCTTCACTATATTCTTAATGGACGAACCCGCGGAGGCGGAGCGACAGGTGGACAGGGAATTGGACACGGAGTTGAACAAGACGGCCCCGCCGGCGTACGACAATACCATGTTCACTAACGACGATGGCCAGGTGCCAACGTTGGAGTTGCCGCCGTTTCCGTCGCGGCCGCCCATCTATGAAATTTCCCGATTATGAGACGGCCGGCAGGAATCGTTCCAAAGAGTAGTTCTGTAAATAGTGCTTCGAGCCCCGCGCGCGTCTTCCGGCGCGACGCTCGAGAGTCGTGTAGTTTCGATAACCGGGCGAATTCCTCTGGCAATGTCGACCCGTCAGCCGGGGATTGATCGATCGGTTGCTCGATCGTGGGAAAATTACCGTTGCATGTCGCGGAAATTAACAGCGACGCGTTCGACAAGCGGATTCTGTCTTCGCTCACGCGCATCGCCGACTGGCGTCGACGAGTCGTCCAAGTTGTATTTTTCGCGTCGGGCCGAAGCTTAGGAAATTGCGCGACTCGCCAAACGACAGTCGCAAAGATTGAGAATAATTGTTCCCTCCGTGCGCGAAACGTTGCGAAATGTCCGGTGAGAATCGAAATTTGAATTCTACGGATTCCTAAGCTCGCAAATCCCGTCGGATCTGAAGGGCCATTGGAAGAATCTCGAGATATAACCTTGTTATTCTAAGCTACTATTCTATCTTGACGAGAGGAACAAATGATCATTTACAGTCCTGTCTTTCGCTGCGTGTTGACTCGGAATTTTAAATAAGAAGGGATTTCGCGATTTCAGCTCGACCCACGGAAGCTTTTTCAATTGCGATCCCCGAAATTTCGCGATAAAATTGATTCACACGCGGGTCGCTGCTCCCGGAAGGCGGAGAATCTCAAAGATCGCGCGAGATCGAGTGATCGAACTCGGTGCACGTCTCAAACGGCGTCCGTCGGGAAAAGGAGGGTGTCGCGGGTTGGATTGACGCGCACAGACACATTGCCGGCGATTGCGCTCCGCAAAAAAGAACCTTTTATTGAGAAAGTCACATAAATATTGACGATTGGTTTTCGGTGTTATATCACATATCGTAGACAGCCTGTTGGAGTTTACCCGCGACGGGTAATGCGAAACACGACGATTGCGCGTATCACGTTGCACATTCGCGTTCACGGATCACTCAGACACGCTGACCGGACGCTCTCTCTCTCTCTACTTACACGTGACACGCGAGCGATTACGAACTAAGAGTGTGAGATTCGCCGTCTTCTCTCTTCTATGTACAGATTATTTAATATAAATAAAACGAGTCCACTTTTCCATTTTGTAATGTACAAAAAAAAGGGGTAATCGGGGAACGATGATATGTCCTCCGACGAGGGCGTACACGGACCAACGCGACCTCGACGGGGAACTCTGTCATGAGATGCTGCGTATTCCTAACGTACGACTGCACCGGCGACGATATCAGATTGATTCCGAAAACTCTCCTGGAACATCCGTTCGATTTGTCGATGTGTCATATTCTCGCTCGAAGAATGTTTCGTTCACGCTACACTGAAAAATGAATTTTCTTCGTCCACGTGACAGCGGATAACCAAACGCGTCCTGGTTGAAGGAAACCGAACTTTTGCTTATCTGAGAACGAAATTTGGTTCATGAGAACTAGAAATGTTGTTTCCTTCCACCAGAAGAGGAGAAGTAGCTTCGGCCGAGCTCATTTACTATAACGCTCGTTCGTCGCTTCGGGGAAAAGAGTTTTCAATCAACCTGATACTTGCGTGCGCGCGTACGGTGAAACAAGTGGGGCGCGCAACGAAGTGCGTGTGACGCGCGCGCCACGGACTTGAATCATCCACCTGGCGGACGATGACACGCACATTATTATTATTATCGCCGTCAATTGCGTCAAACGTCCGCGGGCGAGGTGAGACGCGCCGTGGGACGCGCGGCGCGTGGAATAAGCGTAAAGACTAAAGCCTCCTTCGGGTTCGGCGAACTCTAATACTTCTCTCGAGCTGGCTAACACCCGACAACTTAACCATAATGCTCTTAATACTAACGGATACTCTGCGCGCAACACGTCGCGCCGCCGCTTCTGCTTCCGCCCGAGCGAGTCGGTCGTTTATTTTGCTCTCGCGCTGCAAGGTGGTGGCCGCGGGAAATCGACGCGCACACATACACGTCGCAGCAGGAAAACGGCCACGGGTTCTCGTCCGCCTTTTCGAGTTTGCGAATTCGCGGGAGGCCGCTCGGAAAACAAGCGGTTTCGACGACGACCGTTCGCCGGCGCGAAATCAGACTTCGTTATTAAGGCCCATCTGCATAAGACGCAGAGAGAACGAGAACGCAGTATTTTCGCGTCCACGTATGCGTGTTCGCTTTTCACCGGCGACCATCGTGATGTCACAAAACGGTCCAATGCCGTTCCGAAATTACTTTGATACCCGTCAGCAACGCCCGCGACAGACAAACGCTTGCAAATTGTCGATATGCTTAATAGCGCAGGACTTAATTAAAGGGTTTGCCCCGGCAGGAGGCATTTCCCGCCTTGCGTGCGTCTCCTGCATTTATATACGACGGATCGTTTATCCGACGCTGTGTCGCGCTGTAATTTCCTCACCTGGGGAGCTGCAGCGATCGTAGTGGCAATATGGCTATCATTTATGATGTCACTAATGGAACCAGTGTTCCGTTCTTTTTAGCTCGCTGCGTTCAAGAAATGTACGCACCCTGAAACGCGAGAATCTCCCACGTACACTTCATACACTTCGATGTGTACGTGTACGTATCTTGAATCAGTGCAGCCAGTTCGGCTAAAGAGAACGGATCACAAATGCTGTCGCGACACGCTGCGTGCTAACAACGGAACAATTTTTCAGCACTGCCGGTGTATTGGCAGACTATATATGAAACACGCTCTATGTAGTCCGCACGATAGATAGCACGCAGCGAGCACTCGGGCTGAGCTAATGAGAAAACAGTGCGTCACAACATCACGTCCTAATTGGCTGGTCGCTTCGATGCGAGACACGAAAGTCGAGATTCGCCCGCGTCCTGCGTATTGAAGCCTACGACCCGTAACGACCGGAAACACGTCACGGCTGCGTCTCATCTTGCGAATCCGCGACCCTCGTTCTGCGTCTTACGTAGGTGGGCTTTTATGTACATGCGAGACATCGAGTCGGAGGAAAGACGTTTCTACGACGCGCCATCGAGCGACGTTCGCGCACACCTGAACGGCCGAGTCGACTTCGGGACACGAGAGGAAGGAACCGCCGGGTTCTCGCGAGAATGAAGAGGATATTTTCAGAGTGAAGCGTCTCTCCTCTCCCCGTCCTAAGATTCTTCGAACATCAAGGAACCACGGCGGAAAGCGAGCCGCGAACTCCGCGATTTTCTCTCTCTCTTTCTCTCTGTCATTCTCTCGCTACACGGAAGAAACAATTCCGTCGGCGTAACTGAATTTTCCGCTGCCCGGGGACCGGAGGAAAATTTGATTGTAGGAGCCGAAAGCTTTCTGCACAAGCTTTCCACTCGGGTCAATTGTCTCGGCCGAGTTTCAAAACAGCTAAATGTTCACACGGACATATTCTCAGCCGCGGTAAGAAAGACGTCACTTCTTGACGCTGAGAGTTTTCACTCCTCCACTGCAAATCCAAGTGTTACTTTTACACGCATAAGCGCCGTAAAGTGACGCATTTGACTCTTTACACGTTTCTTCCTGTTTCAGGAAGTCACGCCATTTAAAACCTTCAATCGTGAGTTAAGTGAGGCGAGTGAAAACGGCGGGAAATCCACGGGAAAATCCTCAGCTAAGATAACGCGCTTGGATTTGCGGTGTCGTCAGCTTGAATTCCCATCCGGTCCCTGTTCCGGAACCGAGTTCCCCGGCGCGACGTTTATCTCGTTATCGCTCGCAGACGCCGCGAGGGTGCGCCACACACGCAGGAACAGCACGAGCTGCCTGTCGCACTCCTCGCGCACTCCTCGCGAGAACCGGCGTCCGTCGTCCGGCTGGCGGGGCTGCGAGGACGGACGGTTCCCGCGAGGGTCGCGTCGCGATTCAACACTCCTCGGTGGAGGTGCTGGAGATCTGCGTGCTGGCGCCGCTGGAGAAGCTGCTCCTGCAGGTCTCGACCGCGAGCGCGGTCTCCGGCACCTGCACGAACTGCACCTTCTCCTTGGGCCACCTGCTCCTCCCGTACACGCAGTTGAAGATGTTGTAACGTTGGTCCATCTCCAGATGGCTGAGCGTGCTGCTGTGCCGGCGCTTCAGCACCTTCTTCGCCATCAGGCTGCGATTGTTCTTGTAGGAGAGCTCGCGCCGGAAGCAGAAGAACCTGCGCAGCTCCCTCTTGACGCGCCTCGACCGGTAGCCGAAGAGCAACGGGCTCGCGTAAGCGGCCAGGATCAGGAAGCTCAGCGCCAGCACGTCGTACTTGTGCGGGAACTCGCGGCCCGAGTACTGCGGCAGGTTCTTCATCACGCTGAGGATAACGTAAGGCGACCAGCAGATCAGACCCATCACGATCACGAGCGCGCTGATCCGGGCCGCCCGCGTCTCCTCGCGGTATCTGAAGAGCGAGCCGTTGCTGATCCGGTGCTTCAGGGAGTTGATGTAGCTGCTGGTGCTGCGTATGCTGGACACCCGGTTCAGGCTGCCCGGCTTGTTCGGCGCCGGCGTGATCGTCACGATCGGCGCGAGGAGGCACGACGACGGCTCCGCGTGGCTGCCCCGAACATTGCCCTCGGAGCTTTTACCAGCCGGCTCGCCGGACGACTTGCGGCGACCGAATCGCCTCGACTTCCTACCGTCCGAATTGCTAGTCGTCGCGTTCGTGGACGAGCCATTGCCGAACGCGCGGTTCTGCTGCGTCGTCGCGGTGTCCGACGCTTTCGCCCGGACGGAACGACCGTCGTCCTCCTCCTCTTCGTCCGCGCGAACGACGGCCTTGTCGAAGGAACTTCGCCTGGAATCGTCGCAGGAGCGTTCCGGCGTCTCGCACGCCGCGAGCGACAAGAAGTAGTCGGAGGGTCTCCGGTGGCTCGTCCTGCGAACAGTCCCCGGCACCTCCAGCGAGTCGAAGCAGCCGTAACGTCGCTCGTCCTCCGATTCGGACTCGCTGGAGTCGCCGGCGATCCAGCCGGACGACTCCGCGGTCGACACCGCCTCGTACATGAGGTCGTGCGAGGACTTGCGTCGCCGGTCCGCCGGCGAGTCCCGGAACTTGCTCCTCACGAGGTCCTCGTACGACGCGACGCCGCGGTCGTCTTCGAGGAACTGCGCCTTCAGGACCGCCACCGGCTGCGCCCGCTCGTGATCCTGGCTGCGCGTTACCTCCACCGGCTGCAGGCCCACCGTGAAGACGACGCCGGTCCTCTCGTCGGTCGACGGGCCCGACTGCAGGACGTCCGAGGACGACGAGAAGGACCTCCTGCGCGACGCCTGATTGCCGGCCGAGTGCGCGGTCTCGCTGGTCTCGTCGATCGACGAGAGGCTCGAGATCTTCGGTATCCTGCGGGCCTCCTCGGGGTACGCGTCGACCGGCTGCGGCCGGGCGTAAGGGTCCTCGCAGAAGCTGGGGGACGACGACAGGGCCGGCCGCGAGCCGGTCCTGCGAGTCCGCTCGGAGTTACGGTGCGCGGCCGCGTAGATGCTGACGTAGATCCAGCAGACCCCGGCGAACGGCAGCAGGTACGCGAGCACGCTGTGCACGACCGCGTAGATGAGGCCGTAGGTGACGGTGTCGTTGGCGAGGAAGACGGTGGAGTCCTCGAGGAGATCGCCGCCGCCGCCGCCGATCGGCCCGATCGTCCGCAGCAACGTCGGCGTCGCCGTGCCGTCCACGACTTCCTCCTCCACCAGCTCCTCCACCGCCTCCACCACGGACGTACCGTTGGCGCCGAAGAACGCGAACGCCGAGTCGATCGACGTCGACGAGGTGTTCAGCAGGACGTCGCCGTAGGACGAGCTGCTGTTGCTGCCGTTCAACGTCGTGCACGAGAGCCAGAGACTGCGCGGCGACGGGTTCAAGGACGCGATCAGGCCGAACGCCGCCGAGATCAGCCATACGGAGACGATCAGCACGGCGGACTTCAGCTTATCCACCCGGGCGCGGTAACGCAGCGGGTCCACCACGGCGAAGTACTGGTCAACCGCGATCAGCAACACCGACAGCACCGACGACGTAGTGACGAGCGCGGTGGCGCCTTCCGATATGGCGCAGATATTGCCGACTGACGAGGACGTCGCGCCGGACGCGTTCGACGTGGACGTCGTCAGTGTGGTCCCTGCGACGGACGGGCCGTCCATCATCAACAGCGGGTTCAGCAGCGCGCACGTCAGCAGGTTCGAGACCGTTAGGTTCATCACGAATCTGGAATCGAGATAAAGCATCCCGGGGTTCAATCAGACCCTCGTATTCGACGCGTTTGTCGCCCTAAGTTATTAGGATGAAGCGAGCGAGCGCTCCGGTGATCGTGCAGCGTGAGTGAAGCGTGGTTCTTGATAGACATTCGGTTAGCCCGGCAATAGTTGAACGATTTGTTGCAATCCAGTAGGTAGGGTTCTATGGAGGCGGTGTGTCTTCTTGGATTTCAGGACGCGGTAAATTTGGACGTCTGGACACGGCGACAACTTGTTGCAATGAGGGCCGCACGGAGAAAAATAATGTAGCGAAAGCATCGTTGCCGTTACATATTCATAGCGACAGTGACAAAATTTAATTGGTATTATTAAATTAGCAAATTACTCGTAATTAGAGCAGAAACCGTTTCGTCGCTAGGAGAGAAATTTTCTGTTGAGCGAATTTGTCCTTGGAACACGTTAATTTACTGTTGGAACGAATTAGTGGCCTTCTGTTTATTAATGTTTGTTCTTAATAATTTGCATAATAATTTGTGGATTCAGCGAGATAATCGACCAACGAATGGCAATTGGTATTTTTAACAAGTCGTTTTGCTGTCCAGTGATGGAGTAGTGGTGGATTTTGCTGCGACGGCATAAAATTTGCTGTAACGACAAGTTATTTTTCTCCGTGTAGAATTCGTATGGAAACGACAGTAACATGATTGTTCGATGACTTCGGAAAACAATAAAGATAATTCCACAATGACAGTTTGTCGCAAATCAAGTTAGGATTCTACGGAGGCGGTGCGCGATTTTAGCGCACGGTAAATTCGAGCAAGTGAGGACAATTTGTCGCGATGTGAGATGGAATTCTTACGGGAACAGCAGGACACATGATTTTTCGATGATTTCAGGACGTAATAAGGATCGTTACACCGACGAATAGTTTGTTGCATATCCAGCATAGGATTCTACGAAAATAACGCGATTTTTCTCGGGTTCCAGGATACGGTAAATTCGAACGAGTGAATCAAGATTGCTTAGGATTCACTGAGAGGAAAAAGCGCTACGTTAAAGTAAATAATTACTCCCTGGCCATTCTCTTGCCACGTTCAGGTAATATTTAACGATCTAAGTAAAAATTTGCCAATGAATATTTGCGTAACCATTCACTCGATCGTAGCACTTATTTCTCTCAGTTTTTTGCACAAACAGTGAAATTATAGACACGATTTTTCGGCGATCTCAGGATACAATGAAGATAATCGCACACATACACACATACAGAGACGATGTGATAAAAGACAGAAGGAGATGAGAAGCAAAAAAGGAAAGTGACAACATTATTCATTCCCGCATGCAGATTAGATATTCATGCCGTGTCGATGCGTTTCTTTGGCGGCATGCTATCAACCGCGAACGTTACACGTTGTGACGACAAACGCGAACATCATCGTTTCCCGAATCGTTCTTCGACGCGCTCACGCGGCTGCCGCCGAATTACCTTCGCGATTCCCGTTGATGTAACGAATTTATCACGGGACGGCACTTAAGGATCCCACAGTGTGTTTCGTTTCGCCTGTTTCCGCTGCCAACGGATTGATTGACGGACCGGCTCGCCCGAGCATCGCGTCGACCGAACGGCGAGAAGATCGCGCATCGGGTCTCGCGGCACCCCGCGTGGTCCTTCGTGTTTGATCTAAATATAGCCCGAGACGGCGATGATCTTGTGCAAAACCGACGTGCGACAGATTGATTTCCGCCTTTTTGCGACAGGGCGCACCGTCACACTTTCTAACGTCGTTAACGGCGAGCGAGAGGTGGAAGAAGCACTCTCGAAATACGAAGGTTTATTATTACACCTGTAGGTTGCAGCGGCTGCCAGGATTCGGTTGCCGAGCGCTCGTACACACGATCGCCCGGCTCAGCAGGTGGATATCTACGCAATAACAATGATAGATCCAGTCCTCGTGGCGGGACTATTAATACATCCCACCTAACATCAATCGCGAACGTTTGCTTTCGTGGAAGTCAGTTACTCGAGGAGTCCCGATCGGATTTCAATAAACGAAAGCTGCATAAAGCCGGCGAAGCGCGAACTCGCCGATTACATTCGCCGATTATCTACGAGCGATCCATCGAGATTTTCGGGGAAATACGACAGGCTGTTGCTACGCGAACGACAATCGGAGAAAGAAAAACAAAAAGAGACATGGCGAAACAGCGCGCGATGGACAGTATCCAATATATGGCGGATTTTATTTTCACAGTAAACAAAAGGTGCGTCGCGCCCACGCGAGTTTTATCTCTGCGTTATTTTTTTTCTCTCTTTTCGGTGTGCGATGATTATTTTCACATCGTCCATAAATAAGTCGTGGATCATTCTAGCGTGACGAGCGAATTTCCAAGAAAAACTACGCCGGGATGCACCTACCGCCGTCTTTCCGCATTACGTTGCGTTCGCCCACTAACTACACGACGAGATCGTAAACTGGAATATTTAGGCTGGCAGTGTCCCACGAGAGAGCGAGAGAGACACGGAGAGAGAGAAGGGGAGGGGGGGGGGGAGGGNGGGGGAAGAGAACACGAGAGATGCAGTCTACCGAAACGACACCTCGGTGCGGTTTTATTTACGAGCACGAAGAAAAACACACACGTCCGTGTGGTCCGCGCGGAAGGACACGTAGGACGCGTGTGAGCGTCGGGAACGAAAATAATTTTCCTCCTCGCGCGAAGATACGCGCGTCACGTTGGAATCCGACGCGTTCGCCGCGACAAAATGCTGCGTGCAGCATTTAACGTGACGCGAAAGTCCCGATTAATCCCGAAGAGGCGCGCGATATTTCCCGCGTCGGGCTCTCCTCCGCAGCCAATAAAACAACGTCCCACGCGCGTATCGCTTGTTGACTCGCAGATATAAGTATGATTCGAGGTTTCGAGTACCTGCACATCAATCACGCCATCGCCGTCGTACCGTCATCTTATTTATTGTGATGGCGAAGATTCGACGCGCGATGGATCGCCGCGTTTCGTCGCCGTCATCGTCGTTCGGGCAAAAATGCAACCGTCCTCTTTCTCTCTCTCTCTCTCCCTCTCTCTCTCTTTCTCTGCCCCTCCTCCTCTCTCGCTGTAGATTTGCACGCGAGGGGTTATTAACCTTGGCACGTGCGGCACGCGTTCGTAAAATAAGTGGTACGCACGGTATATTATTTATGGTCGCGCGGCGTCTCGAAGAAAACTCCGCGAATATTACGTGGAAGCTGACACGGTGACGGGATGTATTATTTCCACCGTCATACACAGGGTGTCCCAAATCAACAGAGACGAATTTCGCGAGGGCGTAGAACGGATTGAGACGAAGGAATTTTTAATTTTCGCTAGGAGATCCCAGTTTCAACTTCACATTCTTCGACTTCGTGGGTAAAGGTAGTAAACTGAAGACAGAATCCCCAACGCAGGTAGATTTTTACGAGGGCCGCAGGTAGAGGAAAGATAAGGCAAAAAACTTTGGTGAAAAATTCTCGAAACCCTCCTGTTCGAACATGTTTCCCCAATACTCGTAATAACTCGAAAAATATGAACATTTCCGAACAGATATTTTTCTAATTATTAAAGTCTCGAAATCTTCCTATCCCGACATGTTTCCCCGATATTCGTACGTGAAAAATATGAAAAGTTTCTTTTCTAATACATATGTTTCTAATTATTTAAATGTGCATGGAGAAAATATAGAAACACATTTTTAGTAATTAGATATATATGTATTACAAAATGTATACATTTCATAATCATTTCAATCACAAATAACGAGGAAACATATCGGAACAGCAAGTTTTCGGAGATTTTCCACCGGAATTTTCTCCCTCATTCTTTCATCACCTACGGGTCTTCGTCGAAATTTACCTGCGTAAGATCCTGTCTTGACTCAGGTAGATTTCAACGAAAATCGTAGGTAGTGAAAGTTCTTTTCAATTACGAATATCAGGGAAACACGTCGGAATAGGAAGTTTCCGAGAAATTTTTTACCTGATTCTTAAGCCTCATTCTTTCACCACACTGAAAAAAGACTGGTAATACTTACTGAATGCATTTAGTTAGAGATTTCGACAGAATATTTGGTAACCGTGACAAAATTTGAATATTTATATAAATATATATATATATATATATATATATTTATTTATTTATTTATTTATTTATTTTTACTCGTGTGATTTATTTCCGATCTGGCGCGTCGCTACGAACTCAAGAGACTCTCGATAGTCGTCCGCGAAATAGATTCGTTGTATGCATCCCGCATGTTTTCGCTACATGTCGCAGTGCGCGAGATCGTCACGTGCGTCAACGCGGAGTCGTGTTAACGAATTTGCGGAACCCTCGCGACATAAGAATTGACGTCGTTCACCGATGAATGCCGCCGCTTATCGGTATGCGGATAATGCAATGCTAATTTCGCAACCACGCGCGTCAACACATCGTCTTCCTTTCGGTGCCGGGCGTTAGATCGTGGGCGTAAGACATGCAGAATGATTCGGAGTTAGTGCTTAGAATTCAGGTCGAAATAAAAATACCAAGCAAGCGGGAGAAGAGACGCAAATATGAAATTTTGAGTGGAGTTTTGGGACAGATGATGCGCAGCGATGGCGGTGTTTCTCTTTGAAAGAGGGAGAACTTGACGGATTTCAGCTTTCCGCCACCAAGTGGTGTCAAATGATCGATCCACTTACCTGTTGGAGATGGTGCGCAGCCCTGGCCGTACGAGAAACGCGAGCAGGAGGGTCGCATTGAGCAGGAAACAGCCGAAGAGGACAAAGCTCCAGACCGCGATCGCCGGATTGTTCCACCATCTTTCCAGACCTCCCAGATCCGCAACCGGTCCTCCTCCGACGAAGCCCGTCGCAGCTCCATCCATTCATAAATAATAAATGTGCGCTGCGGGCCTGCAACAGACAGATAGAAAACACACGCGTTAGAACGGCGTTTCTATCTTTCGACAAATCGGTGCGTTGGAAGGAAATTCAGTGTAAAATGTGGCGCAAGTTTAATTTTGAAAAATTTCCGTTTAACTTTTCACATCTGAGCGGCGACACCAGAAAAAAAAAGATTTTGCTGCCGCAGTCAATTATAGTTTAGCTGAAAATGCTTTGCCGCTGTAGCCAAAAATTTGCTGTCGTAAACAAAACTTCAGTCACTGTTGTCACACGGGAAAAAAAAAATTGTTTTAAATCAATGATAGATATTATCATATACAGGATATCCGGAAAGTTTCGATAGAGCGGCCATGTGCAGATAAAACGAGTTAAAGTAAGTAGAAAAGTCCTCTACCATTTTGCATACAATCACGCAAAATTTCGAGTCGATTAATTCCGGTCACAGCAGCGAATTTCCATTTCTACAGTAGCAGAACAGCCGGACCGTGCATTAGCTGGCGCCGGCAAGATCTCTTTCTCCGCGGCAGATCGTCTCTTCCCTTTGAACCCGTAACGAGAGAGGATTTGTCACGAGCGGAAATTAGATCGATTTCCTCGAGTTCGCAAAAAAAAAAAAAAAACCTGACCCACGCGCGCCAAGAGCCGCTCCTCGATTAAAGCGTCCCGGTTACTTGCCGCGAATGGACACGTGCGGAATTACGTCTTCGAAATGGGTCAATTAGTACGCGACTTAGAGCGGGAAAAGCGCTGCGACGACCTCGATGTAAGTGCAACGGCGACGGCTACGGAGTTCCTCGTGGACGGATATTTTTAGACGGGTTTCCCCGTACTCACGTGCTGTAAGAATATCGACGCGCGCACGCGGAGACACGCGTGTGCGTATCCAGCGGAACGACTCGCGATTGTTCTTGCAAACGTGCGTGCGAATTCGTGAAATTCGCCTCGGGATGAACGGCGCGGGATTTCGTCACAGGCGCGAAAGAAGGGAGAGCGCGCGCACGCCGCGCTGATATTTGCATACGTGTGTGTACACACACGTGTGTGCACGAGGTAATTGTCCGCGCGCGAGGCGTCGTTACCTGAAAACACGCACCACCTGTGCCGGCGAGACGTTGATCGCGCGCGAATCACTCTTCTCCCAGACGGGATACAGGCTCGATTTGAATAACAAAGCGGATGAGAGTCGCACAGATACCGGCTATTAAGATTCAACGCGTCGCGAGTAACGCGTTCTAAAAATAGCGCGACTCGCGTTTCTCGGGAATCTATCTTCGCGCACTACGAAAGAGAGAGCCAGTGTTTTCCTTCTACAATGAGATAACCTAATGAGGCGGATCGAAGTTGAAGACCGCGCCGGCCCGCTTGACGTCGTTGATAAGGCGAAAGCCAATTTCACGGGGGAAACACTTTTCGGCGGCCATGGATGAGCTCTCGTTCTTTCGAAAACATTCAGACGCGAGCGAGAGGGAGAGAGAAAAGAGAGAACGCGAGGGACACGTAACGCGATACGAGAAAACAAAGTTAGTTCGATTGACGTCAACTAATGTTATTCACAATTCCCTCTTTATTCCGCAGCTATCGCGCCACCGTTAATTGCCCGATCCGCCGCGATTAAGTCAATAATCATTATCGTGTTTCATCTTTCGTTCATCTCTCTCTCTCTCTCTCTCTAGCTTTCTCTCCCTATCTTTATCTTCGATCTTTAAAAAATCACTTTATCGGCGCAGCTTTCTCAATACGGTACCGCCGAGATGGCATCGATCTGAAAAGCACACTACCAGCTTTATCGGTACCGGATTCATAAATCCGCTGATAGTTATAGTACAATGCTCTCGATAGCGCTTTATAGACAGACGTGATTCTCGATTCGCGCGAATTTTACACCGCCTGGTCAATATTTAACGTTGCGAAGCACAGTGTTAACGGACGATAAAATTGTATCACATCGCTTTATCGGTCTCAGCCTCAGAGCCGCATCGCGATGTCCTTTTTGGAAAATACGACCCGTCTGGAGCAACCCGTTGGACAAAACTAGTCCGTGGATAATTCGCGCGATACAATTTTAAGAATGTACAGTCCACTGCCCATCAGTGCCGTATTTTCAGTGGCGCATCAAGGGGGCCAATTATATATTTATCAAGCAAAATTACGTTCCTTTATATTTATTTCACTACTTAAATAGTAAATGTTAATTTGAAATGAAAAATTGAGGTAAATATATATATAGTTCAGAAGATATTAACACATTGCGTACGGCACTTTACTCGCTCAACACGCTTCCAGGGCATTCATTTATTCGCTAACCATTTGTTTCGAGAATGCGCGAGAGACTTCGTTACCCTGGTAACGTAACAAGAAAATCTATTTTTAATTCCTTAAGTCATCGATTAAGTCGAAGAAACCTGAAAACGAGATATCTCGCCGCCCGGCCACAACGTTCGGCTTGTTAAAGACGAGATATCTCGTCACCCGTACACAATGTGTTAAAAATAGAAATAAAAAATAGCACGTTAATCTCAGAACACGTATAGAAAGTGTCAATTTGAATTACAAATATCTCAGCTCTCAAATGCTCAATCTTTTTCAAATTGCACGAGCGATAAGTTAGATAATATTTCAATGTATACGCAGTGCACGCAGTTTCATCAAATTCTTATCAAAGTCATTTACCTTACAATCTCTTTAAGGTGGAACAACTTTTAAGCCGGGGTCTGAATTACTGTTGAACTTTTGGCGTCACTTTTAAAAATGCAATATATAGATTTATAAATTTTTTCACTATTTTAAGTTATTAGTAAAACATCCTTAATCCGACGTGCTATTTAATTTCCCTTCTCCATTCTATTCACGATGGAAGGAGAAAAACCGACGATGATCGGTCGGTCGGTCACTTCGGTGCACGACGGCCGATCTTCCGCACGGTTGCCTCGAGACTTGGCAGCGTTTCAAGATTCGATCACAGAGAGTAAGGGGAGAGAAAGAAGAACGTCTCGAAGCATCGTCAATCTGCACGATCTATGAGCACTGGTGGTCGTTTATTTCCGTTTAAAACGAAACTCCCGCTCTCTCTTTCCCTCCCAACCGCGGGGGGCAGCCAGTGTCGCTCCGATCTCGTGCGAGTCGAATCACAAATGATTCATTTTATCGCTCCCGTGAGCACGCGCGTTATCGTGCCCTCTTCGTGTCACAATCTCGCGGAGACGCTAGCGGAAACAAACAGTATCTGTATATTTTTCATGACGGGAGAGCAATAACAACCCACGACCCCAGCCTCGCGGGGGAACTTTCTGCATGACGCGCGAGACATCGTTGCACAATAACAGCGCAATCCGGCTTTTTAACACGGCCTCTTATTCGCTGGTTTTATTCCATCGTTCTCCGAGCCTCCGTCATCGGCGCCTTGAAACGACGGGGAACCTCTTGCGCGAATGTGTCCCGTTTACGACCGTCGTCGAATATCACGAGCAAGAGACCGCGTACACTCCGCGATAGACTGTTTCGCGATAAAAATTTTGTAGGTCTCGTAAATGTGAGACAATATTACGAGAAAACTGCGAAACGAGAAAAAAAGGATAAGCAGGCTTTCGCCGCGTTTGAACATTTCGCAATCGCTCGATGGTTATTGCATTATTGATGTTCACTGACCTTAAAAAATTGCAAATCGTTCGCGTCGCCGATAAAAACACAATTTTCGTAATTAAGTCGTTTCTCTTAAGCCTCAAGAAGTAATAATAATAATGATAATAATAATTTTTATCGGCGGGGAAAAACCTTTTAAGGTAGAATTATCAATGCCTGGACATGTATTTAATTCTGGATATTCTTGTAGTTTCAATTTTCAAGTTACATATGTTGAATACCAATTCAAAATATTGAGAATATAACATAAACACAATATGTTAAATTAACACACGTTACGTATGTTAAAAATTTCACGAAAATTTTTAACAAAAACCGATTTTAACACAAGTACAAAATATTCTTCACTGTGTACGAGAGTTATATATAAACATCATAAACGGAAGACACGAATAATCAGATCAGAGATGCGCGATTAATTAATTTACGAGACTTGCAATTCTCTTTTTCCGCCTTCCCAGGCTCCGAACAAATCGGCGCTTAACGAGCCGGGATTTCCTCTCACAATTTGCCGCCGCCTCTTAAATCTGTTAAATCCTACGAATCGCACGCGAACTTGAAATCAATCGAGACGCGTTTATCCGCCCGTTGGCCGATTCTCGCAATTTGCACTTCGCATTTCCGCGGCGGTATAACAAGCGGAGGCCACCGTAGTCGTCGACGTTCATCGCGACCGGATTCGGCATCAGGACGGCAACGTGTTACTATAAAAGGCCGAAGGCGCGTTACATCGGCTATCCGCTGCGTGACAACACGGCTGCGATTATAAAGCGCGGATATTTTCGCGCTCGCGATTCGATAAAGCGTAATTCCTTTTCGCGATTAGGCCTACATATTCGTCGGCTAAGAATAGCGTATGAATCAAAACGGGAGCTGGTTTGCGCGCTCGTCACTGTCCGATCCGTCGATGGTCGCGTAAGATGACGGATAACGAGCCCGCCGGCGAATCCGAAACAGATGTCATTGTCATTCCGGCGAGCATGTCGTCGTCGTGCTCACGTGAGCGGCGGCGACGACATATCGGCGGCCGGCGCGCTCGCGATGCGGGTGCACGGAAATGTGTATCGGGAAATCGGCGACGTCGGTGTCAGCGACGTATACGCCTCCTCCGCCGCTCCGGCTCCGATAACACAATTCCGCGTTTCCGACGTGCGTCGCTCCGTGTTTTCCTGCGAATTCGTACGCACGCACGCACGCGTTACGTCAATTATCTACTTACGAAAGTTGAGCCGGAAAACATTTCGCAGAAGATTCAGAACGATATAGTTAATAGAATAATAATGTACTGAAATCCGTTTAGTTGACACAAACAAAATTCCTGCTCGGAAAATGGGCAGCAAATGCTTTGGTTGGTGAGAAGGTTTGGTTCTTCGAAACGAAAATGAAGGAGGAAGAGGCTCGGAGAATCAAATTTTGATTATCACAATTAAAACATCTGTTTGCCCATATCCGAATAAGAATTTTGTTGAATCCATTTTGTTGAATTCATTGAATCCACTAAATAGGTTTTTCACAGTAACACTGACGCGTGTTCCGACGTTTTCACGCGAGTTCGCAATTTCGCCGTGAAAAACCTCAAACTCAATTTAACGTTCCGCGGTCCACCGGCGGAGTGATTTATCGCGCGACGTGCAAAGAGAAATGTGGCGGAAATGCGAGACCCCGAGTACTCTCGAAATTGGGTTAACGAGATATGTTCGTGGTCAATAACTCACCGGATGTGTGAAAATCAGGCGGCGACGACGACGGTATCGACGGTGCGGGCACGTGACATCGCGCCCCGATCGCGGTTAATTCTTTCTTCCCTTCACATCGACCCGCCGTGCTCCGTCGTTCTTGAGGACCTTGAAGACAAAAGGGACACGAGTAGCGTTATTGTCTCGATTGTCATTCTCCGCACAACAGTATTTCTCAACTGTCACTTCGACGCTTATCGCGACCGACGGTAACTTCTTCGCGCGAATCTTTTGAAATTACGACCAAAGCGCGAGCGTTCGCAAGTTTCACACAACATATTTAAGTATCCTATCGGCCTCCAAAATATATCAGGAGACCGCGAATCAAGATCAAAAGTTTTTATTTACTTCTGATAAAGAGGAATTTTAATTTGAATCTACCCGAGATTCAAATTAATATCGGTTCTCTGAAATGAAAATGAAAAAAGTTTGATTTAGAGAACCAAAACTTTGGTACAGAGAACTAAATGTTGGCTATCACAGCCAAAACCATTTGTTTGCCCATATCCGCTAAGTAATTATTTGATTTGAGTCAACTAAATGGGTTCCTCAGTGTATAAATTCCCGTGTTACGTGCATTTTGTTTGTAATGTGTAATTTTTAGTTTGCATTCTACTTGCGTTCTGTTTATTCGTATCTAGTCGAGCTTGAAGAAAAGGCAATGCATTAAAACCAGCTCTTCAACTGTTGCTGCGCCTTTTTGATCGCCTTTCCCTCTCGTTTAAAGGATACCCAATACTCACTGTAAAACTTGCGTCCAATAAAGTATTATTATTATTAATTTGATTTTAGCCACGGTCACGAAACGGTACGATGCGCTTCTGCGACGCTTCTCGCGATCTCCCCCGATCGTTCCCGTGCACGCCCTCCTCGCGAACAATCGTCGAATCCGTCCTCCCAACGGCGATAAGTCGCGAGGTCTCACCCGCGCAGGTGCATCTGCGAATCGAAGAGGCGTTCACGCTTCCTACGGGCGCAGCCTGTTACGTTGATAAGGCGATCTTATCGCGTTTATCGAGCGGTGTGCATTCGCCGGCGCCTCTCTGAGAAATTCTCCAGATGCCGCCTCGTCGTCGCTTCCAGTCGCGGATCGATCCCTACGCGCAGACTTCGATTAATTACACCGTTCGCGCGGAAGAATCGCACACGCCGGCAGAAAATTTTCGAATATAAGACCGCGCGAGGAGAGAGTCAGGTACGGTCGCGCAGGTACGGAGTATCGAAAACTCCCCGGCGGTTATATTGTTTCCCCGCGAATATGTGCTCCGGATCAGGAAACGCGGTATCGTCGAAATCACGCACCGCGAGAAATTCCGCCGATCGGTCACGCAATGAAACCGCTTATGCCGGATATAAAAATGCGTTGTCGAGCGAGTCCGACTTCCGTGTCGCTGTCGCCGTCGCGCAAAGTTGGCGGATTTTGCGGAGATGCTCTTCGTTTCATTTTTTTATATCGTGCCCAATTGGAATTCACCTGCGACTGAAGCCGCGAAACGGCTCTTACTACAAATTAAATTTCCGCGTATTTATATATATTTGACCGCTACTATATACTGGATGATCCGACACTTCCTGTCCTTGAAGTTTCCTATTCTCGAACGAATTCTGAGACGACTTTTCCTGTTGTAAAATGTTATCCGAAGCTTGGTTTTTGAGTTATAAAGATAAATAGTTTGGCTATTACTGGTGGGGCACAGGAGGTAGACAGGGGCGGCACAACTCATCGTCAGATGCAGGCGCTAACATTGGGCATGCATGTGGTAACATTTATATATTATATTATTTTTAAAACTTCCATTAATGATTGTACGTAATAGCAAATTAAGTATTCAATTTGTGTTGTTTTCAATTGTTTTCAAAGTGTTTTCGTCGCATCAGGCGCTCAACCGTCAGTGGCTGTGTCTGACGGTGTGCCGCTCCTCCTACCTCCTACGCTCAACCGGTAATAACCGAGCTATTTATCTTTACAATTCAAAACGCGAAACTTCGAATAATATTTTGCACAAGCAAAAATTGTCTTACAATTTGTCCGAGAATTTGACACTTCAAGAACAGAAAGTTGTTCCGGATGTATACATATATTCTCGGTTATATCAATTTTTTCTCTCTTGAGATTCATAGACAAATAGTGGATGCAACCTTTTAGTATAATATTATAATGTCTAATATTGATTACCCAGTTAGCTTCAGTTAATTTTAACGTTAGTCCTAGACCATTCTGTATGGTTCTGCTATTTCGTCCACCCATATATTAATCTAACTTATCTCATGTGGATTCCATATTATATATCACATCTTGCTACTTTGTGACCTTTTCGCCCTATAAATTAGTAAATTTAAGCAATCAGTGCTACCTTGCTAATAAGATTTCACTCTCATTTATACTCGTAAGGTGTAATTAAACTATTTACCTCTATCTTGTACTGTTAATTTAGATTATTTTGTGTCTTTTTCTTCTCCACTTTTTGTTCACTTTTTGTTCACTATTTGTCCACTTTCTATTTTTTCTTTCTAAAAAAGTTCTTGCCCATAAATAAATAATTAAATATTTGCTTATGCAATTTTCAAAGAAAGACACGTGCCGAAGTCTCGGGCTTCCGATTTTGAACGACGTGGATCACCGACGACGAGCGTGCCCAAATAAGAATCGTCCCTCCTCAACGACGGGAGATTAATTTTACTTATGGAGGATTGAGACCGTTGAACACGACGGGGAAACTGCCGGAACGTGACGAGGAAGATTCGGAGACAACTTTTCGATCGGCGTGTCACGAGCAAACAACGACGCGATACTGAGGGATCGGCCAGTCAGGCTGTTGACGAAATATTTAAAATCGCTTTTAAAGAGGAAAGGGAGGAGGGAGTGTCTATATTTAGCGCTAATGTTAGTACACACAAGTATCGTATGATCAGCCGGGTCAATCTCGTCTCTTATCGACTTCGGAGATAAAGTGTCGCAGATTTTATACTACGACGCGAACTTGCGAGATCAGTTTCGGATTGAATCCGATCCATTCAAGATAATCGAGCTGGCGGAAGATCGCGAAAATAAAAAGAGAGAGAAAGAAAGGAGGAAAGAGTAGCGTCCGATCGAAATTTCGGTTTCGGTTATTTCCGGTCAAAAATAGGAGTTTCGGCCGAAACTGAAAAAAAAAAACGTAGCTTCGGTCGATTACCATGGGAAAGCAATGACAAACACGTAGAAAGCATGCGAGTAGTCTCGCCGCTGAAATTCGCGATGTAAAAGTGTCTTTAATCTTTGACACAGCCGCGACGAGGATCGTAAAGCCGCGACACGATCGTACTCTCCGTATTGCATTGCGTCGCATTGCATCGCGCCGTACCCTTCGATCCAACATAAATCCCCTCGACGAAACGTCGACCGAGTTTTTGCACGAGAGATGAAGAGGAGAGGGCTCACGTGAACGCACCTTTTACGTCACTCTTCGGCAGCGATTACGCACGAAACACGCTCGTGCCTGAGATCGGCGAAATCGATATCGATCATTCGCCGCATTCGGCATATTCGCGCGAATCATCGCCTTTCCTCGCCTCGCCTCTTTTTTCCTTTCATTTTGCGCTTTTTTTTTTTCATTTTGCGAGAGCCCCTTACTCATTACATCGTATTACGGCGGCGGCCTCCACGCGTTCTCGTTACTTCCGCGAGTTACGAGACGTGGTAGAAAAAAATTTACGACGCGAGTCCTCATCTCGCGCGGGGATTCTCTTGAGCGCGGACCGCCTCGGGATTCATACCGCGAAAAAAAAAGGAGACCGACGTTTCTTCCGCGACGCCTGCGAGGGAACATGCGTGAGATGCATAGGTACGCACACACGTGTGCCTGCGTACACGCGCGTCTAAACCGGTTAAAAATTTACGATGCTTCGAGAGGGACGTCCCGAGAAACCGGAGTGTCGCCGACGCGCATCGAATAATCTCATTTCCTCGTTCAAACGGATACCGAGGCGGTTTGTTTCATGCTCTGTGTGCGTGCGTGCGTGCGTGCGTGCGTGCGTGCGTGCGATACGTTTCTTCTTTTTCTTTGTTATTTCTCCTTTTCGCTTCTTATCGCGTTCAGATAGACACAGAAATACATACTATACACGTACCGTCGCGGACACTTCGTGAAACAACGTGAATATGTAAATAAAATAGAATGATTTTAAGGAACCTAAAAATAATCCGCCTCCGACAAAATCGACGATGAGCCTTCCCTCTTTGTTGTCCCGTCTCCGTCGCGCGTTGATGAAAATAACCGTTGAATGAATGAAACTTTCGCCCGCTCGATGCCGGGTGAATTATTGCCGGCGGTGGCGGCTTGCAAAAATGTATCTTATACCGCCTCCGCGCGCTCTCAAACTCGCTCTTGATCACCATTTCCCGAGTCTCGTCTTTTTTAATACCGACCGACGCGATATCCGTGCGATATAATGACACGGATAATGCTGATGTCGGCTGTCTGCACGAGCCTCGCAAAAACCGCGCCGCGCATCATTACGAGACCTGCTCACCGATTATCCCATTACGATAATTACGCGTGGCTAATAAGAATAAAGTCTCCTGGCGTGCGTGTAAGGTCGCGATATATCATTCGAAATAATACAGCTTACAAAGTCTGATTGCGCGCGTGTAACGGCGACCTATGCATTTCAATGTGCGATTGCAAGGGGAATACAGGGTGTCCCGATCGATGGTGTCCCTAATTGATTTCCGGATTCGGTCTCCGGAAATTTCAACGCTTCAAAAATTTCGACGATTAAAGTGCCTCACGCACCTTTTACCGCCTCCACCACGAGAGCTAACGGTATCGTCGAGAAAGCGCGGTAATTCTGGGACATTCTTTATATAGCCCATCTAACGGACAAAGAGAGCTATGTCGGAGAAATGAGCTACTTAAAATTATTCGAATATTCTGTTCGGCTCGGCTTGAGCTTGGAATTCTATCTTTCTTTATCTCTATCTCTCTCTCCATCATGAGCTAACGATATATCGGCGAGAGATAGCGAGGTAGTTCCGGGACACCCTCTATGCAGCGCGTGTATACGAGCGAACAAAGAGAACTATGTACGAGCGAACACAGCGGGCCGTTATATGCGGGTTTCCGACATCGGTGTACTTCTGACATCACTGAGCGGCTTTTCGAAACAACGCGCGCGCGCGCGCTCGCGGAAACTATGGACTACCTGCCCGTGGGCTAATTAGTCCATCCGATCGCGGGGATGGAACGTTGGCGAAATGTCGGCTCAATGTTGCCCAATGTTGGTCAGCGTTGGCCAATAAAATTGAGATTCATGAGAAGAAAGACATTGCGAGATTCATATATTCGTTAAAGCTGTTAATTTTCAATCATTTTTGACGCTTCGAAGGAAATTCCAACTTTCGAATTAAGGCGAAACTTCGAAGGTTCGGTCCTCAAAGGCCGTAATCTTCGAAGTTTCGAAGTAACTCTAAAGAGTACAATCTTACGAAAGCTGTACGTGAATGTCTATGTATATTTTACTCGGGGAATACTAAGAAATGTTGTAAATGAATTTTGGTAAATGAATATGGATGTACTAGACATTATAGACAGTAAAAAATCTTCCAAATGTTGTCCGTCCAAATGTTAAAATTTTCTTGTGCTACTGACTTTTGATTAATATCTCACTGTCAAATTAACACACGGCTTATATGTTATTATTCTCGTAATGCTTTCATGTGTTAACCCTTTGCACTCGAGGGCTCCGGAGCGGAGCCATTTAAAATTTGTCTTCAAACTTAAAACAAACTATTAACAACTATTGACAAATTAACAAAATTAAAAAAACAATAACATACAACAATGACTTTTCTTTTAATGCGCATATCATTTACTTACATGTGAATATGATCTTTCCACTGAAATTGCTTCGAGTTGCTGGTAATATGAATGAAAAAAACTTCAAGTGCAAAGGGTTAAATTTATGCCAATTTAGTAAATTGATATTTTTTGTGTGTTATTTAAAAATGAAACATTATCTTAAGTTATATTAACATTAATATAAATTAAAATGAATCTTGAAATAATTATAAACTTTGACATATGAAATGGTCAAATTAACTAAAACCAAATGTTTCTATCACGGATAATTTAAGTTAAAGTAATTAATTTCATATGTTTATATAACTCGAGAAATGTGTTCTTTAGAATTACATTAAAATGTAACATTTATTTTACTCACATCATATGGACAAATATGTTCCAGCAACATTTTTTACAAGTTACTTGAACTACTCCTTCGCATATTTTCTGACAATTTTTTATGTTAATCATCGTACTTTAAGTTGAAGTAATGTAGAACAAAATGTATTTGTGTCAAATAATTAACATTTTGAATATGTTAAGAAGTATTATAATATACGACGAATATATTATTTTAATACAAAATTTAAAGTGGACTTCCTGGGACATATGAAAAATGTTAAAATTGACTTTTTTTATGCGTATAGTTTAAAAATCTTATAATTCTGATATTTCGAAGCTTCGATATTTTCGAAATTCGAATAATAAACACCGAAGCTTCGAATCTTCGGAGACTCGAAATTCGAATGTCAAAGTCTTTGAAAGAAAACACCAGCTCTAATATTAATAACCGCGTTCGACGCACCGTTTTACTCGTGAATTTGGATTTTTGACCAGAAAATCATGGTTTTCTCTCTCGGCGAAAAAAAAAGAAAAAAAATAGAAGAGGAGAAATAGGCTCCTGTATCTCATCACGTGGTTATAAACAGCGGAAATCCGTATCTGCCGTAGCCTGGTCGTTGTAAATGCGTCAGCCTCTTCCTTCACACTCATCGGCGCGGCGCGTCGCGTTTCGTAACCGCGACGAACACGCCTCGCACCACACAATTAGCGAATTCCACGAGCGGATATCGACGGACGCGAGCGTTTTACGGGCTTGTTAACACCTTCGACACACGTTGGCTCGCGGCCACCTGCGTTTCGCAACGTCCGCCGATACGTCGGTCATCGTCGTCGGGCAACATCAAAGGTCGCCTTTGGAGATCGACAGAGGGAAAAAGAAAAAAAAAAACAAAGTACCAGAGCATTTTGGAATACGAGGTCGTTAGAGCAAAATAAACGATCGCAGTTGTATTTGTCATACTCATCGAATCACGACGCGTACTAATTTGTACTCGAGTAACTGGTTCGCGTTTCGGCCATTTCGCCAAATATTTGGCTTCTATGAAGTTGGCCCCATTTTTTTAAATGTGAAAAAAATTAGCAAAGTTCTGGTTGACCCCGAGGAGTTTTAAAGAATTGATTTTAGAATAAATTCGGTCGATTAGAACGGTCAAAATACCGTATGAAAATAACAGAGGCTAACTTTATGATTATGTAACTTTAAAATGCCGTAACTTGTTTTGATTGAACTTAATTAAATTTTATCGGTTCTTAAGGATAATTGATAGAATTCTTCAGGGGATTACGAGACGATGTTTCTCAACGGAACGTTAAAACTGAAAAAAATGTCATCCTTTTCAAAAATTTCAAACACCGAAACTTTGAGGCGCTGCAACTTTCTCGTTTTCAATGTTAGCGCGTCGATTCTTAAGGATAACCGATAGAACTCCTCCGAGAACAATGAGAATTATTTGTTTACTTGGTTATAGCCTCCCGAAGAGTTTTATCGATTATCTTTAAAAATAGAAGCGCTAAAATTTAAGATAAAAAAGTTGGAGCATTTTGAAGTTACACAATCGTGAAGTTGCTCTCTTTTCCCTACTTTCGTACGGTGCTTTGGCCGTTTTATTAATTGACGGAATTCTTTTTAAAATCTATTAAGAACTTTAGAACTCTTTGGAGGACAAACAGAATGTTGCTCATTCTTTTCAAGTTTTGAAAAGTGAGACCAACTTCACAGAGGCAAACATTCGTCCGCTATAAATCCAAGTAAACTCCAATTTTATGAGACAATATCAGGCATCTATCACGCGTGAGAACGCATTGTGTACCGTGAAACAGTCGCTGGAAATTTTCACGGTTGTTAATAGCGGAAATACGCGTTTAACATTACCGGTACGATAAAATTAGTATACATCGCGCGGCCTTGCGCAATTTTCAGCGGTTCTCTCCTCGTTTCTCGCCGTCCGCCTCCTCTTTGCATCTTATTTTTATATTCCATTGTCTCGTTCAACGGCTATCGTTTGTGCTTTGCCGTGCCGTTCCGTGTCGGCACCAAGGTTACGATTTTTTAATTTGGTGCTTCTGTCAGAGAGGCGGATTTCTCTCTTTGTCTCTCTCTTTCTTTCCCTCTTTCCCTCTCCATCTTTCTCCCTCTCTTTCTCTTGGTGCTCTTGAAATATTGTCCCGACGCGTCGCCTACGTCAACTTTAACACCTTAAAGTCCGACGTGGCAAGACGCACGAGCCCGTTATTAATAAAGCGAGCTCCGAGAAAAAGTGCGCCGCGACGCCGTACGCACTTAACGCGCGTGTGCGCGTGGAATAATTACAGTGAATAATAACGCGTCTCAAGCCGCGAAGACGCCTTCGATCCGCTTCGTCGAAGCGCTTCGCGCGGCGTCACGAACAATCATATTTACATTCGAACGAAAAGAAAAAAAAGAGGAACGGTGACACGTGCGCGAAATCGATCCGCGGGTGTCGCGTCGCGGTTAATTGCTTTTGTGATATCTCGTTATCTCGCCGCGTATCCGCCGCCGCGAGGCCCGTATAAGCGGAGAAAGGAAGGAGCCGGCGTTCCGCGCCAATTTTCGCGTGAAATCGCGATGACACACGTAACGATAATCGCGGGGTATCGCCTGGTATCGCCGGCGGGATCTCACTGATCGCGAGGCCGTCGAAAAAGCCGTAGATCAACCTCGTTGCGACGAAAACAACGACGGCGGCTATCTTTCGAGACACTTTTACCAACGGAAACGGCATATCGGCGAGATTATCAACGGTCGTGGAGTGTCGCCCAGTTGAACGTCAAAAAGACGAGCGTTCCCGGAACGATCGTTACGTCAGCGGCAACGTTCGCGGAATGTCACGTGTTCGTACGAATCGATGATTCTTTATCGCGTTTCACTTCGCCCGAGCCTGTGCTTTGTCGCCCCCACGTTATGAGAAACAGCTTACGAGCTTCGAACTCTAATTACAACGCGGTCATCGGACCGCGGGATGCTCTAATAACGTTGTAGCGTGTGACGGTCCCATCGGACGTCTCGCGTCGCGGAGTGATTTAGAGCCGCGATATATCGCATTAATCAACGGTTTGCTCTACTACGATTAGCTCACCCCGGCGGAGCTTCGCCGCGAGTGAATAACGTCACATCGGGACCGATATAACACGGATACTCCTCTCTCTCTCTCTCTCTCTCTCCGATCAATTTCTCGTCCGAGCGTGCCGATTGCGCTAACGACTGTATCCTTTTCGCCCACTCGTTGAACTTACACTGTATTGGCATCTCTCGATGGTGCATTAACGTTATGATCTATAATAACGTGTGGTATAAAACACTCTTCCTTCACACACACAAGCGAGTCCTCTCTCTTTCTCTCTCTCTTTCTTTGCTGATCGTTAGACGCATGAGAAAGCAAATAGTTCGGTGAATCTCCGACGGGATTTATCTTACAACGTACCTCGCCAATACTATCCGGTGCTGTTGCCGAATTCACACGGACGCATCATCGTTTACACTTCACGCCGTGCCACGTCCGTTCCGCGATTATAGTTCTCTCTCTCTCTCTCTCTCTCTTTCCGTATCGCGTAACCGTAGCAACTCCTATGTATTCTCCGCACCTCGAGGCTCGGGGCCGCGATGCCGAGAATACCGCTGGAGAACGCGATCAGCAGCGCAATAATCCGGGCAATTACAAACGGCCGAACTCTCTCCTGAGCGAGGTAATGCTCCCCCCCTCCCTTGCGGCACAAACATCATCGAGGAATCCACCGACGGCGGGCGGTGTTTCCGCCGTCGTTCGGCTGCGCGTCGAATTCCAAACGTCGCTCCTGAACTTTGCAGCGATGCGTCGCCGATTCGCGAGTCGCATACCTCCTCTCACGACGGCGATTACGTTATCGGGTTCGTGCCTCTCGCTCGTCTCGTGTCATCCGAAGGAAAGTTCCTTAATCCAGCTGGCGTCGGGTAACGGCTATTTCGGGACATCGTGGAAAACTTGCGGAGCGGCTTATCGTATCGGCATGCGCCATGATGCAGCACTAACGCGTTACAACGCGCATCTCTCTCTCTCTCTCTCTCTCTCCTTCTCGCTCTCCCGCGACGCAGAGCGCGCCCGATGATATTTTCCCTCCGGCACCCTCCGAACTCTCCTGCCTCGCCACTGTCCTAACGCCCGACCTTGCGACCCCTGCCGCGTTACTAACTTGTCGCGCTTCTTTCCGCGATGGCGTTACTGTTTAACGCTGAGCGCATGATGCAACGTCGATCAAAGTTGAGACGGCGAGCGCGAGGAGAAAGTCTGGCAGGGAAAGAAAATAAATAAATAACGATAAATAACGGTCTTGGACGCGAAGGATATAACGGCGACTCGCCGCGTGGCTGAGCCGCGCCTGTGGGATCGCCAAAAATGTTTTCTTGTCCGGCTGGCGCACCGGATGCGTTTAAACACATACACACACACACATACAGAGGATGAGATAAATCAGCCGTGCGTGTTATATAACGTTAACGACCGTTGTGTAATAATCGCGCATCGAGAAGTGCTCGAAATTGCCGTAAAACACGTCCGCGCAAAGCACGAAAAATAGATTTACGGCCGTCCGGGTTGGTTTAACGTCGCATCACGCGCATGCGATCCCGAATTCCGCGATTCTTTCGTCTCCTCGACGGAATTCGGCGGCGATCAACGACGATCTCGCCGAGGAACGGATCGCGGCTCGATCGCGCGGATCAGGGTTGCGCGGCTGGCACTGGCATTGCGCGCCGCCGGTTATCGTACACCGGCACGATTTGCGGCGCAATCATGGCACAGATCGGGGGACTCATCGAGCCTGCGAACTGGGTTAAGGCGAATGAGAATCACTGCTGACCGGGTCAGATTCTTATCAGGCATTAACACTAACTGCACCCAGAGAGAGCACAGCGGGGAATCGCGCGAGCTTTTCTGCGATAATCGCGCGCGCTCGCGGGGAAATGTCGTAACGGTACTTTTCCAGGCTGCTGGCCCCTCGTTCTTCTCCTAGGCTAGCTCGGTAAATCGAAGCTGAAACGAGACACGGTCGCGCGGCGAGCATTTGTCAAACGTCCGGGGAATGATTAATGCGCTCGCGAGCGCGCGATAACGGATAAATTATTCCATCGAGGATCCTTAATCGAAGCGTCAATTAAGCACCGAATGAGGACTCGCGTCGTAGAAAGAGAGCGAGCCTAGCACGAGGTCCTTTCGTACTGGATATCCGCGATGTAGCACCGACGGCTACTTTCGGTTTTAACGTATATGGGCTGAACACAGAGAAGAAATTAGTACTCTGCTCAGTACTCATGTTCTCTTGTTTAAATGAAGAAATTTTATCTAATTTCTCTAAAAAATATCGTATTCTTGTTGTTCAAGAATAATTTTCATGATTTGTGAGGGGAAAGAATATTGGATAGAAAGAACGTATATCGTCAAACTAAGAATTGCGTCAGTTTCAAGATATCGTTCTTTCTATATCAATATTTTTTCCTCTCAATTCGTAAAAATGATTCTTGAATAACGATAATATATTTTTAATGGAACGATACAAAATTTCATCATACATAAAAGCAAGTTTATGCTTTTCATGTAAGATTATATATTCTTGCTTATACAAGACGTATTTTAACTCCACCGACAAACTCTCAGGATAAATTTTATATAAAAAAAAATAAGTAAAAACAAAAGTCTTGGCAAATATATGACCTCAAACATTTAATTTCTGAGCTGTGGCCGTTTAAATCTCCGTTTAGAAAAGTATATTTTACTCATTATATAAATAGTGTTTTACAAGTACGTAGACACATTGCTATGAAAATTATTTATAATGTCTGTCTTTTTTAATGCCTGTGTCTTCAATGCACAATTGACACCTGTAGAGTTGAGATGCGCGTTTTTTAATTTTATTCACGACGAACGATAATAATATATCAACGTCCCAATTAATGATTTTCCGGTTAATATACAGAAATGTTAAAATTGACAAGTATTATCTACAAGAACAGATAAAATAATGTTGTATCACTATTTTTAATCCGCTTCACGCGACACACTTTTTTTCATTATTGTCACCTTCTGAAGGCTATACCTAAAAAAAAATCAACTTTTCGCCGACATATGTTTACTAAGTGTTTTTTTTTTACTTATTTTTTACTTTATTTCTTTTTACTTTGTTTTTCAATATAGCAATAACATATTTTTCAACACAATCTGTCCTGTAAGTTTGTCGATAGACTTCAGAAATAGCTTTTGTATGAAAACATAAGTATGAAAACATAAGTCTTGAATTAATACTAATCTCTTCCCGTGTATTCGCGAGCGTTTGGAAGAATTAGAAATACGAGGAAAAGCTCGTCAAAGAGGAGCGTCAATATTTCAAGAATCACTTTACTTCCGATAACACAGTGATGTTATCTCATCCCCTGTTGACGTTATTAGTCGATCGATAATCATTATACGAAGAAACAAAGAATCGCGACGGTTTCCGAAGCGTGAGGAAAAAATTTTACCACGTAGTGTGCGCAACGTAAACAGATTTCTCGCGGCGAACGGACGCGGCAGCGTCATTCGTGTCTCCGATCGAAAGTGATTTTCCACGCACTACATATTTTCTTGTTCAATTTTATTTTCTCCCGGCGCACGCTATTTCACTGTTCGCTGAATGGACGCAGCGATTACTGGCGGCGCAAAGTGCACCGCGGTATACATTACGTACCCGAGGGATCTCTGGTTAGACTCGCGCAGCACTTTCACTGCGCGAGCACAGACTTTCCTGTCTGTCGGATGCTTTGATAATAATAACAGCGAATTTATTACTATTTGTGTAAATTAATTCGGTGCCTATGTTACATCAACATCAAGATTTACTTATCACTGGAAGGTGTACAATTTTAGTTATCGAAATAATTTCCGTTATTACCAATAACTCCACGCTACCTACTAGGCAACTGTCGAATTCTATCGCGATTGAAACTTGGCGATTTTTAATGAATAAAGTCGCCGATAAATTTCCAAATGTCTCCTATTGTTTTAAAATGCGTGCGTAATATGAAATAATGTTGCAACGATCGAAACAGGTAAGAATCTGAAGAGGCAAGGTTTGAAGAAAAAGCCCAGTGCAGTACAACTTCTGCCTGTACAAAAGAGCCTATATTAAAAATAGCGTCTTTTATTCCTTTTGCATCGAATTAATTTACATACCTGACAGATTTCCCCGTTTTTGTCGCGCTGAATCGGGAAATTGGCTCACGCGCATCCCTTGAGGCTACCGAGATCATTTGTTCCGCGGACCGGCCGAAGGATCCTTGAAATCACAGATCACTGGAGGCGCCTTCTAACGAATCCGCGAACCTTGAGAGATTTTCAATATTCCCGCTCGCGGATATCGCGAGCCGCACGCTGTGCGCGGCGTGCACAGCGAGACCGCTAAATCAATTTTCACACGTATGGTGATAGACGGTGTGCGCGCGTTCTATTAAAAGACCGTCCGTTATAAAAATACCGGAGCATCGGTTAGTCAATCGTGACTCGCCAGACGTCTAATTTCGTTTAACATACTATTGAACGGAACACCTTCGATCATGCTCTCGCATACGCGAATTTTTTTTACGATCTCTTGACGTCAATCGGCTCACAGGGGAGCATCACTGAATGAGGGCCGATCTTTCGTGCGGCTATAATTATCGGCGACCGACGTTACCGCAGATAAGCAGATTCACGCGATCTTTTTTTGGCTTCCAACGCCTTTCGGGCGTGCTGACGACGCAAACGGGAATATTAGATTGTTCTCGTAACTCATTAAAACCTGGCAGAGGGGAAGAGACAGAGAGAAAGACGAGGTAGATGAAGAGAAAAATGTGTTGGAAAATAAATATGCACTTCTGCGAAACTGATTAATAATGTTAAACATTGTACACTTTGATAAAACATACTAATGGAAAATAAATGACTTGTGCTTGATAAATTTTAAATTATTATCGCAGGAAAAAAATATTGTTGCCGCAGCTAATCGTGGTGTTTAGCTGAAAACGTTTAGCTGAGAACGTAAAGTTTTACTTGCAGCAGCGAATTTTTCTCGTTTAGCTACAGCAGCTAAACGTTTTCAATCAAACCATGATTAGCTTTTTTCCGTGATCTCGATCGCGTTGGCGATATATACAAAAAATTGTATGTATTGAGTGTGTAAATATTTAAATAGCAACGCAAGCTTGTTCAAGGGTTAATCAATGCTTTCGGAATTAGCGACTCGATTGTTGCATTCGACGCGCGAAAAGGTTACATCGCTGATGATGACATCAGCCGGTTGCAAATGGACACCATGTACAGGTTCCGTGAATCATCATGTACCTTCCTTAACCGTAAACGTCAGCATGCATTATGGAGTCATTAAACCTCGCAATTGACTTGTATAGAAAATACCCTACACACCTCTCTTTCTCTTTCCTCCTCCTCCTCCTTCACCTTCGTCCTTGCCCACTTTAATTTTTCACGAGTCAGTGAATATGTAAGCGTCCCGCACGCGAGCGAACGCGAGAGCAAATTAATCATTTTCAAATTATAGAACAAGCAACGAATGAAGAAATTGATAAATAAATTTATGGCCACAATTATATTATTGATAGCGTGTCGCGCCGATATCTCATGGCTAGCCACGTGAGATCTCGGGGTAAAAAAATTCTTTTTTTCAATCACGGCGATAGCTTGCGAACACGCCACGAGTCCAGATCGTTATATCGACCAACGAACGTCGATATTCCCGTTCTGCGGATGCAAATTTTCCCTCCAAGTGCAATCAAGTATCGCTTTAATCAACCAGACATTTAGATTTTTAGCTGAACGATTCGCGAACGAGCCGAAAGGCGACTCTCTTCCGCGAATTCGCCATTAATACGCGCGTACGAAGCGCGTTCGGTCTCCTCTATTTCGCGTTTCCACTCGGCATCACGCGTTCGTTATTTTTGAGCTCCAGCCGCGTTCGAGCATCACGGTCCTTCCGTAAGTTTTCGATCACGATGTAAAGCCGAGATGCGCGCGTTGCAACCGCTCTCTACAGTTATAACGGCTGTAATCCGGTACCGAAATAAACCGCGAAAATTCTGCCCCGCCGACAACGAAAGCGGCGAGCGCGGCCATTGCGAGAGGCAAAGGTCGCCGCGCGCGACGGCATACGAACGAATTACGTAAGTTAGCAGAAATTCAAACTTTCTAAACGCGCGCGCCGACACACGATCGCGATCCACGCGCCACCAGAGATGCGATCTTGATCCCGTTCGATTCGACCGCACGAGCGGCAACGATCGGTGACGACGATAAAACTGTCTAAACGATTTATGGATTGCATCGTTATAACAGTATAAAAAAAAACGAGTGCTTGGAAGTGTCGGTCAAAAAAAAAACCAATCAATTCATAAAATTATAAACAGGTCTGTAAGATCACGTCATAAGATGATAACGCGAAATAAATCAACCCGCGTAGAAAATTAGGATCTGATTGGAATCTATTCCGATTTCACAAAAAAAAAAACTACGGATTCTGATTGGGAAATTTGTGAAACTTCAGATTAGAACGTAATGTTTCAAAAGTGCGATTCTAAGTGGGAAACCTAGACAGATTCCGTTTGCTCGGCCTAATGTTTTCCTAAAGTTATCTTATAATTGGGATTCCTAATTGGTATCGCAATATGTTACATTTATTTGAGGTAAGTTCGGGTAATCTGATCAGAATCTATGCTTTATTTGGAAATATTTGCGAAATTTTCATACGACAAAAATTAGTCCCTTAAATATTGAAATATATACTTACAAACGTTTAGGTCACTATTAGGACCATTATCAGTGTTTTTGTTTTGAAAGTTTCCTAAGTACGTTTTCCAACATGAAAGAGTTCTGTACACATTAGCGTTACATATTGCGTCGTCTACAACTTTTTTGTATATCGTAAGATGGCATTGTTAATAGTTCAAATGGTGGTCGAAATGTTTGCAAATATATACTTCAATATTCAATGGACTAATCTTTGATTTATTTCGTACTATCATCTTACAACATGGTCTTATAGGTGTATATCTAATTTCACTTTTATTGATCAGTTGAATCTAAAAACTTATTTTATTTCCAATTGAAAAAGAAATAAATAACGGGCCGAGAAGAGTAGTTTTTTTTTTATGTCTAAAGAATGTCATCCGGAAGATATTTACTGAATGAATCGCATCTCTAGTCTATCTAATTTTATAATTCCAGCTAAATATATTTATTGAATGCAACGTGTTTATTCTGAGATTTATGACGCAAGCTAACAGAACAATTCGACGGAACTCATTAACTTCGCGACTTCCCGATACGAGAGCGATACAATCGCAAGGATTTGTCGCCCACTTGTCCCGCCGATTTCGATCGCGATCAAGATAGCGATCTTTGATTTCTCGGTCTATAGATGTAGATCTAGAACGCCTCTCTCGCTTCGAGACGGCTCGCTCGCTTCAACGCGGAGATCGAAGAACGCCTCGTCGAAAATAACGACGTTACGCGATGTTGCTCGACGCAACCAACGGTACCCGTTCAACCAACGGAACCTTCCGCCTTTTATTTTCGCGTCGAGAGAGAGAGAGAGAGAGAGAGGCGATGGAGAAACGTCGATCGGTTCGTTGCACGAGCGCGCCGGCGACTTACAATGAGACTGATCGCACGAACGATAACGCTCGGCGGACAGTTTACCTATGCAAGAACAATTTGTGCGAAAAATTGCACGAGGAAAGTTGGAGAGCGTGTTATCACGCTCCATTCAAGCCTTGTCACGCGCGAGAGACGATCCGATGGTTAGAGATTATCATTAAGGGATCACGCGCGTTTCAAACCTTTGCACCCGGTCATCTCGTCGCGCATGTTCATTGCGTGGCCGTTTATCCGGCAATTCATCGTGTCGATTGCGATGTAATCATCGGTCAATAATTATTTGTCTCGAATCGCTGAATCTCACGACCTAGATCGCGACATTCACTTTGTAAAGTTGCATTAACATATTTAAATGCGAGAGAGAGAGAGAGAGAGAGAGAGGAAGGGAGGGAAAGAGAGAGAGAGAGACAAGCGTACTTCGCGAGATCGGATTAACATTTCGAAATGACGCCGAGGTAACGACTCAACATGGTCGATACATGGACTCGACGTATCGTGAAAGCTCCTCCGACGAAATTCCCGATGTAACGGGACTTCTCGCTACGTACGAGACAACCTCCGTTCTCCGGTAAACTCCGTCGAGATACGTCGTCGAAAATAACATCGCCCGCGTTTGCACAGCTAATCTGTCGTCTACGAAGAAATTCGCACCTTCTCGTTTTCCGTAATGGCGCGCATAACGGACGGTCACCGGTTGCGCGCTGAAATCTTTCCGTAACAAAAAAGAAACACGCGTCCAGACTCGCGCAGCTGACCGATGTTAAAGTCAGCGACACACGTTGCGCACACTCCCCGTCGCGTAAACTCCGAGGCTCCGAGTACGCGCGTCGAAATATCGCGACGAGGAACTGTGGATATCGGTGAACGACTTGAAGTGCACGGCGAACGACCCAACGGTGAAATTCGGAACGACGGGATTCGATTGAACGCTGGTGTTCGGTGCGGGCGGCGAGCGAGAGCGATGATTCACGCGGAATTTACCACTTCGGCGAAAGAAGCGAGAGAGAGAGAGAGAGAGAGAGAACCCGTGGGTCATTACGCCGGCCGAGTGGCAAAAGGTTAAAAGCGGATTTTTTCTGGCACAATAAACACTCACCTCAAAAATATACCCGCGTTCGGCGGCAGCCCAGCAGCGACGCTGTTGTTGCCGCCGCTGGTCTCCTCAGGCGTCGTCGACCTCCTCTCCAAGTTCAAGCCGGATTCACCGCGTGCTCCTTCCGTCGGTCAAGTTGCACGGGGAGCCCGAGCCGTCGCGACCGGCCGTTGCTCCGAATGTCAAAGCGCGTACACAACGCTCGCAGTCGATCGGTCTTCTCGCGACTACCGGCCTCCTCATGTCAGAGGGACGACGCGTTGTACCCCGTTGAGCGAATCGTTTTCCCCTCGCGATCCTTTGAGCGCCCGAGTCGCGTTCACCCACCCGCTGCCTGTGTCCCTTCACACTGCAGCGACGCCGCGACAGTAACGGTCCGCGTGTCCTCCGTAAGGATACGAACACCACGCTCATATGCGCCAACCGAAGCCCCGTAGCTGACTGAAGTGAACGTGACGCCGAGTCGGCCGAGCGAGAGATCGCGCGCCGCGATTGGCCGATGCGAACCGCCGCCTCGCCGAGCGCGCCCGATCGCCGCGCGACCGGCCACCGAAACTAGCCGAAACGCGCGTGCGGCTTCCCTGTCGCTCTTTTACCCTCTCTTTCTCTCACTCTCTCTCTCTCTCTCTCTGCGTGTTGGCTGTTTCTATCTCTGTCTTCCCTGTGCATGGGTGCCCGTATGCAACCTAGCAACGAACGCGTCGGTGGAAGAGACCCTCTGCTGTACGCTGGACCCCCTTTCGATCTTTTACGAGATCCACGTCTGGTTTTTGCCCTTTGGGGGAAAGCCCGTCGGGGAAGGACGATGTATCGTCGACGAGTATCCTCGTGTACGACTGTCTCATGGCGGAGTGGCGCAATTTGTTGCTCAAGCCAGGTGAAAGGGAAGCTCGCATTTCGGATTCGACGATTCCTAGCGACGAGAAACGCCGTATCTGCGATTGTGTGCTCCGCTGATCTCACTCGCGACAACGCGCGTCGTCGTCTCGGGGATCTCCTGCTTTGCGCGTGACCGTGATTTATTTGCCCGTGGCACGGCGACACCTCGCATCCTGGTTCGTCCGGTCCTGAATACTCGCGATGACAAAGCCGTGACGTGGCCGCTCTTCTCGCAGTGCGAATCGCAATTTGTACGTCGATACAAATTGCCGGTCACATGAGACCGACTCTGTAACTGCGGTCCGTGTTAGCCACGAAAGTTTAACGAGCGCTACAAACACGTCGCGCGCTCTTAGACCGCTCGCGCGTGCAAAGGTGATTTATTTAGGCGGGCACGTGACTGGTCAAATAAAATCCAGAAAAAGACAGTCAAATAAAGTCCGGAAAAAGACAGCTCACGCGTTCCGTCGGAGCGGTTGCCGAAGAATCGACCGGCATGAACCAGCTGGCGCGTGTTTAAGCCAACGAGCTCTCGCGACCGTGAATGTCGATCCCTCATCGTGACGTACGACGTCGGATTTCGCGTAAATCACGAGTCTTCTTCTCGGTCGCAGACAACTTCCGTCGATGCGAGTCGTTGAGGCGGCGATCATTTGTCAACTGTATTTCATGAATAACGCGTTTACAGAACTACAAAACGGGGAATAACTCAGTCTAAATAAATTCACTCCGCGAGAAATGAGAATTAAATGAGAACCAATTCGGATGGTTATTTAATCTTGGTTCGACACACTTCGGCTCAGTGGACCGTTGAATGTTTTTCGGTCTTTTTAGTTTTCACATGGCATACTATTTTTTTTTTCTTTAACCCCTTGACATACAATGACGTCTGGGAGACGTCATTCATTTCATGTACCATTGCAGACTTTGACGTCTCCGAAACGTCAAGAACTGTCTCCGGTGACGCCGTGCAGTATATTATTAGATTATTAAATTATTTCATTTGTGATTATTCAATTGTTTCACAAGCTTGCACATAACTGTTCATTGAGCAAAATTAAATAGTATTTTTCGTGCGCATCAAATTCCGTTTTATTTGTATGTCAAGCGGTTAAGTATCCGCAAAAACCAGCGAACATTACTTTTCTTAAATCGCATTTGCAAAACCATTTGAAAAATTGTTTTTGAAAACATTCTTTTTCTTATAATAAGTTTAGCTTAAAATCGAATCGTTTTCTTTACCTAATACCATAATCTGGGACAAAATTTTCCATATATATATATATATATAATTAGATATAATTTAAAAGTAATAAAAGAAATAAAAGAAAGAAATTTACAGAAGTAATGGAAGGGAAGTAGGATTGTAAGTGCGAATTATAATAAATATAAAGAAATAAAAGAAAGAGGCGGTCCTCATTATCTGAGAAAAAAAACTTTTAGAAAATTAAGGATAGGTTGGTAGAGTAAAAGCTTTGGTTAAGATGTGGAAATATGGGAGAGATGAAATATTGGATAGAAAAAGAAAGAAAATGGGGCATGTGTATTCTGCGGAAAAAGATAGAATTGTATAAGATATTATGTGGATTCGTGTCAGATTACAAAAAAATGAAAGAATAGCGAATTAGAAAGCGATAGCGAGAAAGAATGGAAAAGAATATGAGATGATGAGCGAAGTGAAAAGGTAATATTTTTAAGAAGTTTTAGCAAGAAAGAGGAAGGAAGAAAAAGAGAGAGAGAGAGAGAGAGAGAGAGAGAGAGAGAAAAAGAGAGGGAGACAAGAAGGTAAAGAAAGATTAAGAAGGAAAAAACAGGAATGAAGATTGGTATATTAGTATGAAAGATGTTGAAAAACTGGATTAAGATAGAAATATAAAGAAGTCGGGAAGTGGCAATGCAATGCGATGATAGTATATATGTATGTTAGAATAAGATATATTAGATAATATAATGTGATAAAATAGTTAATAGCAATAAGTAGAAGAGTGGACATTTAAATTGTAAAATTTACGTACCGTAACTACTGTGATATTAAGATAAATATATAGGTAAGAGAAGGTTTAATATACAAGGATAGATGAGTATGATTAAGAAACATTTCAAACTAAATCCCCTTCTTAGCATTGTATAACTGAAGTAATAAATATCTAATCAAATGATAAGAAACTTTTTGAAATGAGTTGAGTCAGAGCGAATTCAATTGAAAGGGGATAACACTTCGGACGAAGCGGTCTGCACCTCAGAATGTTGAGAAATACAACTGATGATGCCGCCGGTACCTTATGTGATATTTAAACGCGATCAGTGATACAAATCGTTCTCCTCTCTGACTACTCCATGATACATTCCCATTCCATCCTCGATTCCCACGTTCCTCCGGCTTTCGGCTCATGATCGGGTAGGCGTGTGTGTGAGGGCGTGTGTTGTGTAAATGTGCTCCGTGGGGGTGCCAGATAGCGCCGTGGTTTATTCAGGACGAACGATATTTCCAACCATCAGTCCGGCACGTGTACTGATTATAGCTCGCAATTTGTCTCGATTCCCTCCTCCTGCGGCACGTGTCGCGTCCGCCGAGACAAGGTCCTTAGAAATTTCGAACAAACGTCGTAATCGATATTTACACGCGCTCTCGCGTGCCACCAAGGTCGCGGCGAAAGTAGCGAGCGGGAACGAGCGCTAGAGAAAAGACGGAGATGAAAGGAAAACGCGGCTAGCGAGAGGCCGAGTGATAATTTCCGAAAAAGCTGGCATTCGACGAGAGAGACACGCACTCTCGCGACATATAATGAATCGTCAATTTCACGCGTGTCGCACATCGACGGCTCTCTCGTCCGAGGGTCTCGCTCTCTCGGACTCTGCGCCTCTTTCCGTGCGCGCGCGCGCGCGTGCGCGAACGAAGGGGGATTTATTTTCACGAGAGCCGCGTATCGCGGTCGCGATAATTCACCCGCCGACGATATATTTTTCTGCCGTCGGTCGCGTTTACGTCGCCTGCATCCCAAGCGAAATTTCGCAGGCGGGCGAACGCGCGCGATCGATTAGCCTTCGAGAATCTCGAACGCGTTCCGTTCATGAGGCCCGCGGGCGGGCCGGCCGCGTGGGTGAGGTATTCGCATTTGCTTGGATTCGCATCGCCGGCAGGACAGGTGAAAGTGTCCGAGTTCCATCGGCGCGATCGTAGCCCGCTGCGGCCGCGTTTCGGCGATTCCGCGGGATTTTTGCGGGGATTAGGGGAAGAGGTACAGTGATCGGTATATATCGATATATTCGAACGCAAAACAGACTAACTCGATCATCGAATGTGCAGCTGATGATAAGGGTGAAAGTGGTCTATCGAACAGCGATCGGTTAAATTGCAGTATTCATTAATTCATCAGGTTGCGATCAAAGGCTGCCGATATACTGCTGCATGCGGACATTTATTTATCTACTCAATAAATCACTTAGCAGTGCAACTTAAATATCAAGTTTCGATCGTTAATTAGCCCTGACATATTTCTTTATTTAACGTATTTCTAACGAGCGCTAATCACTGTGACAAGTATGTCAATTATCTCGACGTGAGTGCCGATTGCTGCGATTTTCGTTATTTCAATTCGATGTTTTATTTTCAGCGGGATATATATTTTATCTTTCCGATACAATTATTCTTGTAGCGTAGAACTTGACTAATCTTTACGGGAGAAACGAAATCAACAAGTATCAGTTTTACAGCGAGAGCTTGAGAGTAGAAATGTATCCTAAAACTGCCAATCACTGTACTTCTTTCCCTAGGAGGGGCGCGCGACGCCTTATCCCGTCATCCCCTATCCCATCTTAAGCGGATGGCACATGGAAAAACGTAAGCAGTAAGACGTAAGCAGTAAGGAAATTGACCAATCACAGACGATTATTCGTCGACCGTAAGGAGAATAATCGACTGTAATTGGTCAATTTACTTACTGCTCACTGTGTTTACGACTTACATTTGTTTTTGCGTGTGCCACAGCTCTTACGCTATCCTATCTCCGCGAGAGATATCGTGAAACGACGGAACACCGGTAGGAAATGAAGCGGATTCGCTGTGGTCGTAAAGGTGTCCTGGAGAACGGGGAATTATTAATTGGCCGGCGATAGCGCGACACGACGCTTATTTCGGCGCAAAGTAAATTCAAATGTAATCGCATCGCTGGCCGCGCAAGCCGGCCGTTTAATAAGACAGATTACGCGCTGCGCACCGGCCATGTCAAATTTACTTCTCATTGTGTTCTATCGGCCGCCCCGCTTATCCGCTTTATGGCGGTTCTCTCGCCGAGGTCCTCGTCGCGGGCACGGAGCTGAAACTTCTGTGCCGCGTGTTTCCTCACTGCTTGAATGAAAGGCGTCTTAATCACGCGACTGAAGCCATATGGAACCAAAGGGGACTATAAAGTAGTCTGTAATTAATAACTATCCGATAATCACGGTTCCTCCTCCTGTCTTTCTCTTCGAACTATCTGTTGTGACTCTTTTGTACAATTTTGTTACGAATAATTTAGTCGATTTTTATACAGAGAAACGTGCACGTGTATGGTTGATGTTCCATTCGCGATAAAATCGTTTTATAGAACCACCCTAGTAGACACTGAACCTCGTCGGTGTTTAGCCACGAGGTAATCAAGTTGTATCTGACGTCGCTATTAGCCAATAATATAACTCTCATTTCTCATAATAGCTAGATAATGGTTAGATAAATGAATTAGCTGATGGTTGAACAAAAGAAATTACAGTTACGTGATGAAAAATTATAATTAATTGTTAAACAATAAAAAATAATGCTCGCTTTTTTAAGATTTTTATGGAATGTGACTTTAATTTTGACTTGCTATCTCATTTTTAAATACTAGTGGCGAATATATATAACAGCTAAATTATATATTTTAGAATAGAAAGCGTCATGTGCTCCGTCATATTTGATACGCAATGGCTAAACAACGGCTGGATCACAAGACCGATCCTACATTTTGGTGGATGACCAATAACGAACCAGTAACAAGTTAGAGAATTCAACCTACACAGTAAAAAAAAAATATATTTTATACCTGTGTTAAAATCGGCCCTTGTTAAAATTTTTTTGTGTCGGATTTTTAACACACCCGTGTGTTAATTTAACATATTGGGTTTACGTTATCTCAACATTTCGTGATGTGTCGATGTTCAACATGTGTAAGTGTAAAATAACATGTTTTATACTTTAATATCGTTTAATGTATTAATTCGGAGTTAATTTTGGACATGATATTTGTGTTACTTTTTAACATATTCATCTTACGTTGAGTTAACAGAAAAATTTGAGCGGATCGTTTGGTACGTGTGAAACGTATTGAGTTTAACACGAAATTTTTTGCCGCGTAGCTTGTACCAGATAGCTATTAGCTTTTGACTGAAGCCGACTAGATACATTTCTACTCGGGCATTTTCAACGAGACCAGACATCTGCGAGGGAAACTCGGTGGGATCTCTAATGATAAGGCTAGAATCGAATTCGGGAACGCCACGGCCGGCAGGCTTACCATAAATCGCCGCTCGATAAAAAGCTCATTAACGTAACGTAAATTAATCGCGCGGACGCAGGCGGCCTTTAATCGCGCGCCGAAAGAATAATTTATAACGCGGGAGCGCAACTCCCTCGCGATAGCGGCGAGTCAAATATAGACGACTATTAATATCTCCCGATCTCCAGCGTAATCATTTAATCGAATTTGACGAACGCTCTTGTCACAAACATAATTAGCTGGCCGGCAACGAACTTCGTTAGCTTCCTCGATTCCGAGCGCTTCCGAGCCCGATAAGCCGGACGGGCAAATTGATGGATTACGCGCCGTATGGCAAGTATGACGAGTAACAATCGCGCGGTAAAACGAAATAATACGCTAACGACCGTGTAATTTTACATCGACAGATCCCGATGTGCCATCGTGCCGTCACGGATTGGTCTCGCGCCTCTCCTAGGTATCCTCTCCGTCTGACCACTCTGGCGGGCCGATATTCTGCCCGATCGACGATACACATGCCTCGTAGCGCTCGATTTCCCGCGCTTCCTCTCCAACATCCCCCGCAGCATGTCCCGTTGTCTAAGGCCGATCGTGCGTTTCTTCCGACTGTCCTCCTCGAACTTCATCTTTATCATCGCGCCCGAGTTTCCCGCGAGCAACGAGTACCTCGCTGACTTTGTCTTCTCGTTCTCGTTGCGAGGCAGTTTGCCCTCCAGCAGTTGATACAGCTTCTTCTTGGTCGCGATCCGATCCCGACGTCGCGGCAATCTCTTCCTCACCGACTCGTCGTCCTGGCGCGATGTCGCGGCGCTGATCGCCCGCATCCTCGCCAAGCGCATCATCTGCCGACGATGATGAACATCTTGGATCTCGCACATACTCCGATTCCATGCGCGTTCGAACTTTAGATTCATCGTCGGCAGCCCGACGGCCGAGCAGTCGTCGTCCTCGCACGAGGACGCCTCTTCGCGCGAAGCGCATATCTTCCCGCATCTCTCGTCGCTCTCCTGGTTCTTCGGCTTATCGCATCCTGTCGGGGAGGGTTCTTTCTTGCAGATGATCTTGGCGCGGCACTCAGCAGTGCGGTTCTTCAGCCTCTCGGATTTGGTGTCCTCGGGACCGCTGTTCTCGCCGCCGTCGCAGTTCTCTATCAAGGAGCCGCAGTCTGAGCTGCCTCCGGTGCGACACTTCGATGACTCGGCACTCTCGGCGCACTCCTCCGAGCAGGGCGGCTCCATGCACTTCTCGCCTGCATCGCGTTTCAGTGAGTTAATAGCGAAAGGAATTTGTTTGACCGCGATTAAGTTAAGGTCTATCGTAATTTGTTAATTGGCAAAGTTGCCACAGAAAATAAATTTTGAAATTCCCCAACTTTTCCATGTTTTCCAGGCGACAGTGGAGAATTTTTCATAACTCATACACAAAGAAGAAATTAGTCTTAAATCAAGAATAGATATTCTCATGTATAAATAAGAATATTATAATCTTCTTGGAAGATCTTTAGTCTTGATTTGATTGAATTTATATTGATGCAAGTATCACTTGAACTCAACTCAAAATTAAAAATCTTCTAAGAATATTATAACATCCTTGTTTATATATGCAAGATTATTTCTTTTCCGTGTATGTGACCTTAAATCTTAACGTTTGGAGGCAGAGATCGCGGAAAAGATATCTTATATGATTAGAAGTAGCAATTTTGAAATTGAGTAACACGATATAATCCTGAATGCAAGTTCAGCCCAATAAAAAATAAATTAATATTAATAAAAAAATGTAGTTATGATAGAAGAAGGCGAGTGAGTAAAAATGTTGAGTAAAATTGACAAATTACGTTAAATTATTCTCGAGGAATAATCGATTGTAATTGGTCACTTTTCTTCTTACTTAAGTTTTTCTAAGTGTCATGTCCTTAACACGTAAGAAATGATTTGCAACGTGCACGAGTTTTAAACTGCGTATTTGACTACAGATGTTAGATTAATATTAAAAAAATGATAAGCACTATTTAGAATAAGAGCATTTAAAGGAATTGTGCGAAAAGAGTTCAATTATAAATAAATAAAACAAATAAATAAAATTCTCCTTTTTTATATCTTTCTCTGTCCTGTCCAGATTTTCTCAGACCAATTTAAATTTCCATGACTTTTCCCGGTTTTTCGTCCGAGCCAGGGTTGTGACAACCCTAATTGGATTGTTCGATAAGTTCGTAGAGATTGCTACAAAAAATTCAAAACCAATATTTTTATAGTTAAGTACAACTTTAATTTCTTTTTGTTTTTTTCGATGACAGTTGACCAAAAAACGGTCAATACGTTATTCAGTTATGTCCAATTATAAAAGTAACGAGCTTGAACCCTTCGCAAAAATCTTCACAAACTTATCGAACAACTCAATATTTAATCAGCTAATCAGCAAGGAATGCATTTTCCTTGAAAATGAAGAGACGCGTTATCTCGTTACACTGAGAGAAATTATAGTTATTTGTAGCCTCAACTATACTCTTTTCTTTGTTTTAACTCAAACAATAGTAATAACAATATGCATGTAAAGTTATTATCACTGACATTATAGTAACACCTACTAGAAAAATAGTTCTCCTGACTATAATTCTTTTACTGACCATAATTCTTTTACTATGGTATTTTATAATATTACAAATACTAAATATTTTTCTCTCAGTATATCATAACATCTAAAATGTGACATAACGTTATTCCACCTTCAGTGATTAGCGTTTCGCTCATCGCCGGCGTTGTCTCCCTCGAGACCTCCTGACTCGACGAAGATTCAAATAATACTGTTCGAGCCCCCTTCGCGGTCTTGGAGAGCAAACCTTGCGTCGTCGGCGTCGTCATCGCTGTAGTCCTATTCTCCATCGACAGCAAGGTAGTCGACGTATCCTCCTGCTCGCTGGTTTCCTCCAAGCTTCGTTCATTATTGCACTCGTCAGACTCGCAAGACTTCTTCGAGGCGATAGGCGTCGGGCTTGTCGGGGTGGCGTCCGTGTCTGAGTTTTCATCAGGAGTGTCGCTCATCGTCGTGTCCATCGACTTCGATTCTATTACCATGTCGATGTTCGGCACTTCTTCGTCATCTATGGTCGTGGCTGACGTGGTAGTCGCAGCTATGGTTGTCTCTTCTTGACGAGACTCCGACTTGTCATCTATCGTCGTCGTCGTAGTCAAGATAGGTTCAGTCGTCTCGTACACCGTGTTTTCGGTCATGCTCGAAAATTCCACGCTCTCTTGCAGAGACGACTCGGTTTCCTCCGAGACCGTGGTTTTATCTGGAACTTCGCCGGATTTCGCGTTCTCTTCGGATCTGTACGTTTCCAAACTCACCGTTGTTACTTCGCCCAAATTATTTTCTTCTTCCGCTGTGCTACGTCGATTCATCGTCGTCGTCGTCGTTTCCATCTCCTTCGTCTCGACCTCCTTCGTTTCTATCTCGGATCCGTCGTACACTTCCGAAATTCCCGAGAAAACCTCGGGACTCCCTACCATTATCATCATCTCTTCTGAGAGACTAGTCTTCGGCACGTCAACGCTCTGGATGTTCGTCTTGTGGACCTTCTTTAACATGTTCATGGGAATCAGGCATTCGACGTCCAACGGAGCGCCTTTGGGTGATAATTGCTTAATGAGATCCTCAATGAGCCGCTTGATCTCGGGGCTCACGAGTTTGCAGTCCAACAGCATCCGCAGACCGTTCCGTAGGCAAGCTCGCGGCGCGCTACAGAGGATCTCGATTCGGACCTCCTGTATATCGGACAGACTCTGCTTGATCTGATCGAGGTTCTTCATCATGTCCCGGTAGTGTGGCACTCGCCGCAGGTTCTCGTACGCGTCGAACAGCCTGAGCAGCTCATTCAGACTCTCGACCATGTAGCTCCTGCGCCAGAATCTCGCATATATCCGAAGAGCCGTCGCGATGTCCTCAACGAAGCCGATGTTCTGCAGCTGCCAGGTGATCTCCATCAACAGTTGAGCGGGCGTGGCCTGCTGGTATTTCGACACCTTGAGATATTTCTCGACCATGTCGAGCTCGTTCAACTTGTCCACCAGGTACCTCTTGGCGTCGATCACATCGTCGTGCAGCACGTCGTCGGGCAACACCAGGTTGAAGAGATACCGGACGTGAATCGTGTCGTTCTCGTAGATGTTGCCGAGCAGGTAGATGTTCTCGTCGATCGTGCCGACGTCGACCAGGTGCTTGACGATGAGAAGCGCGTGCATCTTCAGTTTCTCGCTGCCGAATCTCTCCACGTGGATGTCGATGTAACTCTTCAGGAAAGACGCGATACTGTGGTACTTCCTCAGCTCCCTTGGCGACATCAACTTCAGGATGCCGTGGAAACTGCGTCTGGTGTTGCGCGCGACATCGTTGAGGTAGAGTATGAGCTGCTGTTCGGCGAGGAGCACGTCTCCGTCGTAATCGTCGTAATTCACGTGGTAGAGAAGTCCGGACAACAGACCGGGCGTGATCGACAGGACTCCCCGGTGCAGGAGCTTCAGCAACGCCGGCAAAGATAATCCCTCGGAGTAATGTCTCGATATTTTGGACGAGCGATACATCAAATACGTGGTGTTCGAGGCGTGCACGATGAGATCGTCGGGGTACGACAGGTCGTGTCGTTTCCTGATGCCACGGCACACATTGGCGCTGCTCTTCAGGCAAGGTTCCGCCAAGGCGTAGATCTCGGCACAGATCCTCGACGGTCTCAGATCTTCGGGGTTCCTCAGCATCTTCCTCACCAGGTGTAATATGTTGTAGCGTCGCTCGAAGGTATCCCGGTACACCCTGCGCAACGCCTCGACCTCCTGCACGCTGAAGTCGTCGTAGTAGATGTAGAGTAGGTTGCCGAAGGTGTCCAAGATGTGCGCTCGCAACAGCGCGCCGTAGTGCAACAGTTGCTCCGTGACCTCCTGCAGACTGTAGTTCGCCTTCGGCTCGACATGGTTCAGACGCTCGAGGAGGTCGCGGCTGCCCAACACCATCGTGTCGCTCGTCGTTTTTATTCGGTCGTCGCGCTTCAAGACCTCGTAGTTGATCGCCTGGAGAAACGATGTTGTCGGTGCTTAAGAGATACGTACCGTTTCGTCCAGGAACGCGAAAATTCAGCCTCGATCTCAGCAGTGCGCCTTCCTCTACGCGCGTCGATGCGTATTTTTCGGAACGAAATCAAACAAACAAATAAGATCGGTTTCTTCCACGCGGCCGATAATCAAGACTCTTTTTTTAGGTTCCAAGACCCACGCGATTTCTTTTAGTTTCCCGTGCCTCGTCGCAGTGAAGGTCACGGAGAATTTAACGACCCGTGCCGAGCATCGTTCCCATTGCCAGTCAATTTGATAACACGCAATAGTGGTGCAACGGCGTGGATGTTAGTGGCACAGTGTTATTGACGCCGAAAGCGCGATAATATTAATGGCTGATTTCTCCAATTTGTCAAAAAAAACAACGCAATGAATCTCGAGAAGTAAACGCAATAGTCTCTCGATCTCTTGGATAGTCACGAGCACACAGTTTCGCTTCAAACTGTGTAAACGCCACGGGAATATCTGAAATGAACTTATCTTTCGTGCGGAAAAGTTGCTGCTTTTAATATTTACCGACGAACTGCGGCGTAGAATTTACCTTTTTACTGGAAACTCGACAAATTAGAATTTTTCATTTATAGAAATGCCCGTTTGGAATATACAATCCATTTTCGCGATCAGAATATCGATTATGTAATTTTTCCCTATTCCCCTATTTCTAGCGTGAACTTGTAAAAAATATAAATTTTCTAATTTGGAAATATTTGAAATGTTCACTTTTCACGTTTCCGACCTGGGGAAAAATTACACGATCGATACCCAGATTCTGCGCCCTCCCCCTCTTTTCCCGTTTTTCCTTTATTTCCTATTTTCTCCCTCTAAAATCCAGATGACACCCCTATCTCACCTGCGCAGATAACACGAGCAACAGGGTCAAAGTGCACCCGACGCCCCACGTCACAAACAGGGACGACATTGTCAATTCACGCCGTAATTCACGCGTCAAGACGATGCAGTTCGCTGCGACAACAATGAAAACCGATCAAGCCGTCGTGTAGCTTATATAAGCGCACCCGCACGCATTTACGACGTACACGTGGATGAGAGAACGTACGACCCGGTACGTGTGTGCCGGTGTATTTGTATGGGCTGCTGGGTATCGATGAGATTGAAATTAATTATAAGTGCGGGACCGACGACGATATGGTGCCGCCGCCCTGAGAACCGCGCGCGACTCCCGCTTCCTCTCATCTCGCGCGCGATCTGACGCTTTTCTCTCTCTCTCACAGCTTACGCAAGCAACCGCCCGCTTTTCAATCACGCTCCCGACATATCTGCACAATCGCATCTTTACATGTACATAAATCGCAACATCGAGTTATTTGCTCTCCCACGGTGAGACACGAAAAAGTGACTTTCATTTTTCCCCACCCATTAACAAATTTTTTCGTATATAATTATATATAATTATTTATTTTTATTTGGGCATATATTCTATACATAATTGTATATGAAAAATTTTTTAACCAGCACTTCCTGAGCACAATCACGGAAAAATGATTAGTTGTAATAGCTAAATTAGTTATAATATATGGACACTTAAAACTTTATCAGTATAAACGATTTTAATTGTCGCAATCCCGGGAGAAAAAAGATCATACATGAAATTTGCCCATATATGGCTATATATAATCACATACATCCATAACGAAAACTACATATATGAGCAAAATTCATATATAATTTTATATAATTATATATAATCATATATAATCGATTTTTCCCGGGATTTCTAAACACTCTAGACAAGGTCTAGTATTAGATTCTTAGTATAGATGCTGACAGATTTGAAACCGCATATTCTTTTTCGGCGTTTGAAAAGCTTTTAACCGGTTTCGACTGCGCCTAATTATGCCTAACAGATGGGAGCAGGAAAATGATCATTTCGAAAGTCACTCAGCGTCCGGTTATTTGATCCTCCTAGCTCGCCACATTCCGTTCCAGTGGGCCGCCGAATGTTCTTCGATTTTCTAGTTTCCACATGGCGTAATATTTATTTTCCTTAAAGTATATCGAATGTTCATTACAACGAATGAATATTACTTCCTTTTAAATCGCATTTGCGAAATTATTTGAGAATTTTTTTCCGGAAACACTTTTTTCTTATAATAATAAATTTAATTTAAACCCCAAATTATTTTCTTGGCCTGATATCATAAACATTTGATTCAGACTGTGTTTCTGTGTTTCCAACTCCCACTTTATAAGCTTAAAAATGTGAATTAGAATATTAATTTAACAATATACTAATACCCGCAAGAAATGATTTATAAATATGGAACAATAAATATTCCCGTAGTGGAAACAAATAATTGGTACTTTTAACTTGCTGTTCTAACAAACGCTTCTATATTAGCTTGGTAATAGTTTATTAAAATAACAAGTAACGATAAATGATTAACAACAGTAACTTTTCGATCTGTTTCCCTAACAGATCATGAAACAACAAAAAATCCCCGGTCTGTTTCCCTGGTCTTCAAATAACAGAAGAGCTTTTGTTCTGACAACTAAAGGATTCTTCCCGGTGCAGGATTAAGAACACGTTGCTTCGAGGTTCAGTTTCCCCGGATGGAGCCTCAATACTATTTTTATTATCCATCTTCGCGAGTTCTATTTATATTCCGTAGCTCCTAATGTCCCACTTCTCTTGGAAAGCCCGAGTCGGACGCGAGTCGCGGGGAGGCAGATCGGCACGCCGCGCGTCCTGATCCTATTCTGAGGATTAACACGCGAATAGGATTAATCGCGATCGACCCTGAGACGAAGCGATAGGTGGCCGCCGACGCGACAGGGTAGAATCCGTCGCAAGCTTCATCTCGAATTCTGCCCACCTCGGCGACGACGGTCGGTCGAGCTTGCGCAGTCCCTACCCCAATATGGATTCCCCGAGCGATGCACGTCCTCGGCTGAGGGTGCAACGATTTTAACGGAATTTCGCGTCCAGACCTGCTCGCGGGCGCAATCGTTCGTCTTCGATCACGTCGCGACGATCTCGCGTTCGACCAGCTGGTGAACACACCTTCGTTGGAAGGCAGAACACGACGCGATGTCCCAGGATTATCAGCACGCTTGCGAGAGGGCGGAATTACTCGGCCTACCGAGGCCGACCGAGGAGGAGTGGAGGAAGACACAGGCGGCGGAGGGTGGAAATCGCAACAGCGATGACGACGCATTACAGGTAATCGCGCCTACCTGCCACCCCCGTTCGCTCCAGCCGCCGGGAAGAATAGCGGGGAGAATCGCGTGAGAATCCGTCGCCGTTGTCAATCCGAGATTCGACTCTGAGATAATTCCCGGACAAGCACAAAACCGAAAACCTGAACATAGGACGTCTTTGAGACATCTTGAAGACATCTTGCTCACAGGCGACTTTAAGACGTCTTAAAGATGTCTTAAAGACGCCTTATGTCCCGGTTTTAGGTTCTGTGCTGCCTGGGTTACGAACGATCGTGGACGATCACGCGTTCACCGACGTGAGAGCGCGCGGAAGCTACACGCTCGTTTTGCCCCTTAATTATAAATTAACGACCGTGCGAGAAGCGGTCGGGTGTTGAGGTGTCGAAAACGCGAATGCCGTCAGAAATGTGTGTGCTGCCTCCGCACGATTCTCTTTCTCTATCTCTCTCGCTCGTTGCGTGTCCACGAACGCCCAACGCACCGCGCGACAATACCCGCGCTCGTATTACGTTACACGGAAAGGCGGCGGAGTCGAGTTGCACGTCCACGTGCGAGCTGGATCGTCGGAAAACGAATCGCCGACTCGTCCAATCGCGGGTTCATTAGCGCGTTGGGACTCGCATGTCGGGATATAATTCCTCTACGCTCGATCTTATCTACAGGACTTGGATTACACGGACGAGACGACCGGGCGCATCGGCGGCGGACTCGACGAACTGAACAGCATTTTGAGCACCACGCAGAAGAAGCTCAACAGATTCAAGGTGACTTTAGGATAATTGATCGCGCGCCCCGCGATTAATCCATCTCGGGCGTATGTCGCCCGAGCTAATTATTACGTTCGTCGTAACGCTCGCTTCGCGGCATTTACGACGCCGATACGACGGCGGAATGCTTTATGCCGCTCAAATTGATAACTGCTCTCTTCTCCTCGCTGCACTTCCTCGTTGCGCTTATATCGACCAGCCTAGACAGACTGGATTCGCACGCTGGACTCGCGCGGGCGAAAACGCTACGCACATCTACGCGTACGCGCTGTGCGTACCGTCGCGCGCTTATCCCGATAGAAATTGAATCTCGTGGGACTGGATAGACCCACGAGGTAGTAAAGAGTGATTGCTCGTTTCTGCCTACTTTCTGGACACGATCGGGCACCGATTCGAGACCGGTACCAATCGAAAGCTTTTGAAACGCTGAGGAAAATATGCCGGCTTCAAATCTATCAACTTCTGCCTTGTTCCAGGAAATGTTTCTTTCTTAGACTAAACTGACCGAAGTACCGTCTCTGGTTAATGCCTGAGCTACATTATGCCATTGCCATACTTTTTTTTTTGGACAAAAGAGCGGACTTTAGGATTGCTTTGTGTTTGTGCACACTTCACTCACCTTTGCATTTTTCGTTTGTGTTCCTTATCTCCCGGAAGTTATGAGGTGAAAAATCATAATTAGCTGCCAGATGGCATAATATAACTCTCGCTTCTGATTTTTTCGAATTTTTATAGAGTAACGCATCCTCAATTTTTGCTTGCTAACTCATTTTTTAATTATATTTTTACTAATGGCAGTTATATATAGTAGCTAGGATATATATTTTAAAATGGACAACTAGAATAAGTCTAAAATAGACTAAAAAGATATGTCTGAATTCAATATTATTGCACATATTTTTCATAAATTGAGGCATTTTTGTGACGGACGATTTTTTAGTAAAAAATCAGAGCTGTCCAGACTCTTACTTGACTTCTATATTAGCTAACTACTAGCTTTTGAATCGGCCAACCAAATAAGTTTCTACTTGGGTGGATAATCGACGTTCGCACGAGAGTTTCGCGTGAAGTAAGACAAATTTTGCAGAATGTCTGCGGCAGCCTCGGCACATTGCTCAAGGTGAAGGTCGGCTCCCGCGGCGGCACGCCGCATCACAAGCCCGAGGACCCCGACGCGAAGCAAGAAGCCCAGCAGGAGCCGGGATCCGCAGAGACTGCGGCGACGGAGGCTGCGGACGATGTGATGACGGTGGAGACGGCCGCAGAAACGAATCCTGAGAGCGGCGATGTCCAGCCGAGGCACATCGATCTCAACGAGAAGATGGGCTCCCATCTGGACAAGCTGGACTCGCTGATCTCGAAGGCCGAAAACGCTCAATACAGCATGCAGCATCAGACGAAGCAGATGCGGAAGTTCATGAAAAACTAAAAAGTCGCCGCTCGCCGCTGCGAGCCGCGTCGTCACCACTGAGGTCGGCACGTTCTGCATCCTCATTAACGAATTACACCGCGACGTTTACCTACGTACCACTGCGAATAAACGCGGGATTGATTGTCCTCATAGACCGATTTGTATCTTCCATTTTGAGCTTAGAGAAGTTTTACGAAGGGAGACGAGCGGTCCCCTTCTCCACCGGCAATACATATATATATATATATATATATATATATATGCATTCTGTCCGCGCGTTTAATTTAAACATTCGAATTTTTTGGCTGTCAACGACGAATCCTCTCACGTTTTGCCGCACGAAGAAAAGCGCGTAGTGTAGTATAAAGGGGGTAAACTCGTGAGATAAATAACCGGCCAACGCGTCAAACAAGGAGAACCCGTTGTAGACCTTCGAATCATGATCGTTGCATTGCATGTGTGAAGTTTAATTGTTGCATCGAATATCGGCTGGATATTTTTATCGTGATATATTTTTGCCGACGGGCGAGTAACTGTCGCAAACAATTGTTATCGATTCTTTTATATATATATATATGTCGCGCGACGTTCCCTCTATCGCTGAGAGCCCAATATTGTTACAATAATATACGTGTGTTGTACATATATACATATATATATATATATATATATAGATATATAGATATATATACATACAAATATTGTTGACGAATTTAGTATCGTTATGTAGACGTACCAATGTATATCCGATAATTCGGGGCTTTATGCTTGGATCATTGACAATATCGACATATCAGGTGTAAGGGATACGAAAGGGGTGGATTGAAGAAGCGCGCGCGCGCGGAATCGAGCCGATGATAAATTTTCCTACTCTTCGAACAATGTGATAATTGTTTTACATCGATCTAGAGATCGCATCTCCTACGATCCGATGTATATTTTATCATCTCTCGAATAGTTTGCGCTCTATTTTTCTAGATCGATAAGTTCCGACATACCGCGTCGTAAATAATAATGTAGAAGGCGAGGGGCTATATTTTATTATCGAATATAGTTTGCTCTATTTTCCTCTCTCTCTCTCTACCTAAGTTTAGCGACGTCGTACCGATAATATTAGCGATAGCGGCTCTACCTGTAAGTCGATACACGTGTATGTATATTCGCCAATTCTCGTTGCATCACACAATTCGAAGCAATAAATTATATTAAGTGCCTTGCTTTCGATTATCTCTTCGTATAAGGCGCGACAATTCACGGATTTGTAGTCCCCTCTACGAAGAGGATTTGGGGATGGGAAACCCGGGAGGGGAAAGAATTCCTCATATATAATTATATATAGAATATGTCTATATATATATAAATATATATTTACATATCATATATAACTATATCACCACTTCTCATATATAATTATATACAATTATATATAATTATATTCAATCATATATAATTATATCTAATTATATATGGAAAATTTTTTCCCGGGCTTGCAAACTATTCTCGTTTCCGAACGAACGAAGTGTATGTTACTTCTTTCGAAAGCAGGTCCGTAATAAGAATTATCTCTTTTACATTTTCGAAGACAGACAACGATGTTGTCCCTCTCCGTGTTGTGGCACAATCGTTGAATTTATTGTATTATAAAAAAGGATTAATCTTATGATATGTTATATGCAAACAATATTAATCTTTATAAAGAGTTAAGCTTCGTTTCCTATATTACACACACACATGTACGCACGCGCGCACACACATACACACACACACACACACTCTCTCTCTCTCTTACATTTACATAAAAATATCGCAGAAAATTATATATATATACATATATATGTATATGTATATGTATAATATACCACGATTATACATATATAATTTACCACGCTACGAAATATACATTATTCTAATAACGATATTTCTAATAACAGCGTTGTTTTCAGATACACGAACGATATTTTAAGCTACATACAATGAATATTTTAAGCAACGCATTCCATCGTGTGGATATAATAACGTAATTACCGCCAATGTCGTTGTTATTTGGAAGATATCTGTGTAACGCTATTTTGTAATTAAATACCTGATTACGCTATCAAAAGGCGATGCTTACCTTGAGGAGAACAAAATCGATCCGACATCCAGGATTGCACGCAGGAACGTCGTGGAGCGAAACCTTGAGTTAAATTCTCGCCGAAAGTCCCTCTACGCCGCCGTGTCTCTCTCACTCTGTGTGCAACGTGGGTGTCGGCGTCTACCACCGGTTCGCTTCGTCCCTAAATAGATCGCAAATGTCGCTACATAATTGATAATATGAGATAAACGGAGTGACGTACAAAAAGACGCACCGCAACCTTCGCCATTCCAAATATTCCGCTTTCAACGGGAATGCTATTATTGTCCGCCATGTTTATTGATTTATCGAGCCTGCCGTCGAATCACCTTTCGAGAATCTATTTTTGGCGGGTTTTTCGTTCCGATTGAAATTTTGCGAATCAGGCTGTGTGTTCGTGATGCGCGCAGAGTGCCGAAAGCGCGAAGTAACGACATCTAGCGCTCAAGTTCGTCATCAGCACTGGTTGTCCGATCGCCAGTGTTGCTAACTTAACTTATTTTTCACAATTTCTAATTTATTTGAATGTCAACTAAAGTGCAAAAATCATCCTAAGTGGCAAAGTGACGTCAAATGACATTTCCATGACATTGATTGACGTTAAAGACGTTATTAAAACGTTATTTGAAACCGTCATCTTGGTACCTGGGATGTTTTAGGTTTTCGTTTTAGCATATATTCTAAATTATTTGAAAATTGAAACGATGGATTTTCTTTTCTGAAATAAGCTTTTTTTAAATTAAGTTTTAATTAAACCTCATTATGGATGGTATTCATAGTCAAAACTTGTAAGAGACGCAGTAGCCAATAAACTTTTAGCTTTTAAGGGAAAAAGGATACGATACGTGATGTTTAAGGAGATGGCTTTCCAACTCCGATTAATTCAATCGATGTTTAAACGACCAATCGCATTGATCATCAACATCAGCATCAGATTAGCTAATTGGCTAATGCTGATTGGTCGCTTAAACGTCGATTAACCGTCGATTAACTTAACCGGAGTTGGTGAAAGCCATCCTTATCAAATTCATACACTTTATACTATATTGACATGCAATTACACATAGAGATATAAGAATAGAGGGAACAAGGGATATATGCTACCTGTAAGGGGAAGTGATAGAGGCAAAGAGAGAAATGNGGTAGCCTACAACATTTACATATTTTTTTTAATGTAGGAAAAAATAACATATAATTATTTGAGGTTACGTATTTGTACTTTCTTACGAGTGAAAACTGCGGTTACATCCAGGATAAGACTCCGCCTTGCATTTCAAACAATGCCTCATTTTTAAACAAATCGCGTCCAATTATTATTTTGTTAACGTTCGAATATTTAACGAATTTTAATTCTACACACATGTGCACGCATATTTACAAAACGAAATTTTAGTCTGCTTTCTCCCCTCCTGACGTCGCGTGGTCGTCTTGGCGGCTCATTGTAACAACCAATCACAGCGCTCAACTAGAAAGAGACAGATAGGACACTCGGCATCCATCTCTCTCTTTGCCTCTATCACTTCCACTTACAGGCTTGTTCCCTCTATTCTTATATCTCTATGCAATCACATCTGCAAAACTGACTATGTATCTCTTTTTTTTTTTACTTGAGCGCGCATTCCCACAAGAAGCATACACATATTTACTTTATTTTAGCATATGACGGGTTTTTTCGAGTTGGCGACACTGCCGAGCACGGGGATGGCAAAGCACAGGAGCGTATGCGCGGGAAGTCATGGGTGCAGCAACTTTGACGCAGCCCAGCGGACCGATAGGTTATGGTAGACGAATCAGGATCAGGTTGGAAAAACCTGCCGACGCGCGTACGCCTATCGGTAAATCTCGATGCCATGAGGATTACATACCATGCATTACAACGGTGTACGATGATACCGCAAAATGCAACGTCGACGTCGGTCTTGAGCTAAAACGGAATATGGATAATTGTCTACGATTGATCGTCTACAGGGGCAACACGATTTTCGACAATGTCGTTGTTGAGTCAGAGTGTGAGCACGAGCGGACCGGTAGGAATAGTCAGCGGGAAATTGGCACGTCCGCACGGGACGAGGAGGATACGTGTAACAAGTGCACAGCGAACGCGACTCGTTTGTGCACGAGGGGTCTATCCTCCTACCTCGTCTCGGCTTACATTGTAACGCTGTTAGATTCCCACGTTTACCGCAATAGTGCTCTGAAAGCACTGTTCAGATGGTTGCATGATAGGAAATATGTACAGATTGTATTCATAAGATTGAGGACGCCGAGGAGGCAGTTCTTGGATTACAAATGGTATGACTTCACAATTGGTCTATTCTTCTCAACTGAACTGTTTGTAGTAACTGAAGGAATTTACATACACATTGAAGCACATAAGGCAATAGAATATAAGATTTTTGCACCTTAGCTTGCATAAATTTCTTAAACTATGGCAGACAGTTCAGTCAAAAAGTTATGTTGCTTGATATTTGCTTTCCTAGGAACGACAAATTAATGCAGATGGTCCTGGAGAGGCAAGAAGCCGATCACGCTATGTCTTGGTTATCCACCTTAGGAGGAGCGTTCTCCGCATTGGGTGAAGAATTCGAACACTGCGTAAGTTCCAGCTGCCTCTCTTGCATACGTATGTTCGATAGATTTTAATTAGTCTGTCCTGTGTATTCCTTGACCAGGCTGAAATGGCAGGCAAGATTTCAACGAGGCAGTTCGAACTGGCATTGCGCCTTGGTAATCCACTCCTTGTCGCTCGTTGCAAATTGTATTCCGCCCTGAGTTTGATCCAACGTGGCCACTTCAGGGCTCCACAGTGCACGATCAAAAGAATCCACAAATTCGCGCTCAAGGAGAAGGACGAACGTCTGCAGAACATGTGCCATGGCATATGGGCCAAGTTGCAATACTGTTACAAGCAATACAAGCAGCAGAAGAAACTTTTGTCGTCCGGAGCCTCACGTATATCGTCGATAGTTTAGAACGTTTAACATTTGTATGAAAGATACGCTTTTGTAACGGTACGGTTGATAATATAGGAATTGTTTTTTTGGAATCACACGCTTCCCTAGTGTTTACCGAGCGTTTTCTCGATCGAGGCGAACCTGTGGCTCGCGCGACAGCCTCGGTATGATGGACATTGACAAATTCAAGACTGCTCTTGAGCAAGAATCCTCTTTAATTATCCTCTGGCAAATCATTTTATTAAATTTTACATATCTATCCGTATTGTTCTATTGCTTTTACTTTGTAGCTTGTGCACGTGCGATCCTTAAGATTAACATGCACAAGAGATTACGAGTGCCTCTCTACATGTCGCGCGTGAACGCGATTTCGAAATCGCGAGAAATTCAAGTCGTAGGTACACAACACACGCCGGGAGAACTGATCTGGTAGTCTATATTTATTTTTTGGTTTCACGAGAGAGGTTGCTGTGTTTGGTTTTATCGCGTTATAAAACGAACACCATTTGGTTACCTCGTGATGCAAAGTTCGTCCGGTACGTTATTGCCTACTAGTAAGGTCGAAGTATGCGACTCGGCGTGCTTCGCCCTCCCCTCTCTTGCGAATATCGTAACGTTGCACGTTATTCTGGAAATTGCGATACGCGCGAGTCGTTAATAATCATTTACCTCGTGATTTCAATTATATGGTAACTCATACACTCAGTCTTGACGGTCTAACTTAAACGTCACCCTTGTAGTATACTGTAAGCGAACAAAATGCGCTTGCGATTCGTACGAACGACAAAGCCATTGTTTCCCTTTCAATACTGTTGCACATTCTCTTGCAAGGTATAAAATATCGGTATTTTGTACAACTGCGTACTGTCCCCGGGTTTTCCTTTTCTTTCTTTCTTTTTTTTTTCCCTGTTAAATACTATATTTTCCTGTATGCTTCGAGTCTGTCCTCACGTAATGCGAAAAAAGTTTTGCCATAAAATGCCGCAATTAGCTCTACTTTATCATCAATAAGCGAGTGTGCCCATGGGGTCCCACGCCGGCAGAGTAATGGGCTCCTGGTCGAACACTGCCATCACGTCGGCAGGTACGTATTTCTTGTCCACCACCGCCTCGAAGACGAAGTTGGCGAACCACTCGCTGCTCACAACGTGGTAGCCTTTCTGCCCGTGATCCTCGCCCCACGAGTTCTCTATCCGGAATTTCTTTATCTTACCGTCTCTCTGTGAAGATGAAGATCGAAGTAAAGGAGATCAGTCACGTCGCTGATAATCGACCGAGACGGAGATATTTGATCCTCCCTTTTCAGCTGAACCAGCTGTGTTAGAAAAAAAAAATGTACGCGCACTGAAGCGTAAGAATCTCGTATGTACGCTTTATACGTTTCAATGTGTATGTAAATTCCTCGAGCTAGCTTAGCTTAGCGCCAGTTCGGCTGAAGAGAGCAGACCAATAACCGATGTCCGTCACGCACAAAGAGATACTCACCGGGTCTATCGAGACAGCGGTGAACGCCATCGCGTGCACCATCATGGAATCTCCGAAGAGCAGCCTGTCGGCCTTGGAGAGGCCGACGTGCACGTCCGTGCCGAACATCAGCTTGAAATTGTACGCGTTCAGATCGTGGATGCCGTGTTTGTCTATTAATCTCTTGTTGACGTCGCAACCGAACCAGACCGGCTCGTTATCTTTGATACTTTCTGCGCACAGTTTCATCAACAGTTCCACAGGCTGGTTGTTGTAGCGGGTGGTTCGTCCGCCAACGACATTCCCCAGGCAATCCACAGTGTAGAGTTTCCCATAAGGGTTGCTCGGACGCGGGTCGGTCACCAGGCATACCTTGTCGTTCACGTCAAAGTACGGCTTCACGTAGATCTCGTAAAAGTTCAACGGCGTGATGGGTCCCACGCAGTTGTAATTCTTCGTTTTGTCATAATACTCCCACGTGATCTTCTCGGAGGGTATGCCCAGGCAGATGCCGATTATTCGATAGATGACCGTCATCTGCTCCTTCAGTCGCGCCTTCAGCTCCTCGTCGGTGGCGCCGTTCTCGATCAAATCCCTCAGAGCCTTGGCGTATTCGCGCAGCTTGCTCTTCAGCAAGCTGTTCATACGTACACTTGACTCGCAACTGTATGACTCAGGGAAACAGGCTTTCGGTACGACGCCATGCCTGGTTATGAGATTCACGATCATGTCCCACTGGCCACCGTCGCAGGTAGGGTCACACAGCAGGAAGGAGACCAGACGACCCTCCACCGGCTCTTCACGCTTGGCGGTCTCTATGATGTTATGTAGAAAATAATTGCAACGTTCTACCTGTGAGGGAAACATCGGGATGTAATTCGCTGAGATACGTTCTAACGAAAAAAATTTGATGCATCGTACACTCGCGCGGATATACAACACGATATCTGTGTACCTTATCCCAAAAGAACAGATAAGCCTGGCTGAATTCGAACTCGTCCAAATTATGTTGCTTCATAAAGCTGGTCCTCATGACGTTCAGGATAGCGAACAGCCAGCATCTGCCCGAGTTCTTCTGGTTGGTGATAGGTTTGCCTTCCGCCTCGATTTTATGGGTGAAGACGTGCTGAGTCTCCTCCACGATCTTCCTCGACGCACAGGCCTCGATGGGATTTGTTTTCGTGCAGACATTCTGCGCCAGCAGGTTGCGACTCTCCGCGTAAAACTTGGCACGAAAGTCGTTGAGCTCCTCCGCTGACAGGTTATCTGCACGACGGGAGAAACAGAGAGAAAAAGACAGAGAGAGAGAGAGAGAGAGAGAGAACGTCAGAAGGAAAATTCAGCACGAGAAATCAGGTATCGAGCGACGGCGCTTAACCGCACGTCCCGGAAGAATCGCACCGTCATCCGCAGGCGTCACAATGGGCGAGGAATGCGCTACCTCCTTTGTCGCATCTTTGAAAATAAGGGACTTTTGTCTAAAGGCGCGCGAATGAGAACACTCGTTTGGCTCGATGCGGGCGTGCGAGCTCGCCGCGGACGATTCAAAAATTATTAATAGCCAGCCAGGGTGTGGCTTGTAACCGAGCAAAAAATCGGCCACGCTTGAAAGGTTAAGGTTGGTCAGTTATACGGTTTCCCGCATATTTCGCGCGTCGGAAATACTATTAACTGTCGTGCGAGCACATCCGTTCCGCGCGGAACACCCTTCCCGGAAAGGACGACGAGCTCTCCGTGTGGTATCTGAGTAAACTTACAATCAACCATTGTGACGGCACGTAACCAATTCCTGCGATGCCCCTGTGTATCACGCTGTGTCCACACAGACCCAAGCGCACACGCTTTTATCCCGTGATCGATAGAAAAGGTAAGATGCACGCCGCCCTATCTCGCTCGCACGCTCGCACACAACCACCCTCCCTCTCCTCTAATGCGTTCCACATTTCCGCCCGCCAAGCACAATTTGTATGGATTTTTCGAACCGGCCCGATACACTCGTACGGCAATATTTCAAAACGGCATATTGATTTCAGGATGTACAATATTTGGAAAACAATAGTTTGAAATGATCGTTACATCACACTAATTAACGTTATACTATAATCCTTCCTATTTTCACAATTTTCTTTGTATCTTGGCATTTTGTTTTAATTATCGCAGTGAAGATATACATATCTTGCACAATAAATTAGAACACTACAAATAGATAGTTACCTGTATTTTTTTTTTCTTGCTATATTTACGATATACGTGAGCTTTTACATGTTTTTTATATATAAATTCCTGTACATGTCATTTGGAAAAGTCAAGGTATAATCAGGCTGTTGGAGAACACGCGTAACTACGGAAAGAAATCCACATCCTTCGCAACAGATCATAAGCGGTCTTTGGGAGAAAATATATACATTATAATTTTATTGAAATTGGAAAACCGATGTCATGTATTATCACAAATCTTCATAAATTCCGTATTCAAGTTTGTTTCAGTTTCGTCTTGTCTATACTTATAAATCATCGTATATGCTCATCTAACAAAGTTACACATTATACTAGTCCTAGTTAACAGTCATAATTGTTATGCCATTCGTCTTCGGAGAGTCACACTTCCACGTTGGGCGACGACTCTTCGGCTTTCGATTCCAAAGAGAACGGTGGTATTCTACAATCAAACGCGTATCCATCCTCTCTTTCCATCCTAAACGTACCCCTGCGAACGAAATTAAATAAACAAACGAACATGGTGTCATCGCGCTGACGAAAATCAGATGACGATGCCTACCACATGTGACCGCTAGGAGCTTGCAAGCTCACGTGACTACTATATTGGAAAGCGGGTAGAGCTTTCGACAGCACCGGTTCCTGGCCGACCACGCCTCTTCCTCTCACAGTTTCCAGTGTGCCCGACAGGCTAAATATTCTCCAGTGCCTCTCGCGCAGTTGCACGCTCAATTCACCTAAATTCTCCAGTCGGATACAGTAACGCCACTGTGAGAAAAAAATTATGCAATGATAAAATTAACGTTTAGACACTTAAATTTATTTTATTTTAGTTTAGTTACTTTAGTTTACATTTAGGTAAACGTGTGTCTTCCTTTGTCGGTGGAATAAAGTGGTCTTAGTGATCCTTAGCACGTACTTAGGATAGAAAATGACGATGAATCGACTCACCCAGTACACAGAAGTCGTCTGACTTTCTCTGCAACCCATGTAGAACGGTATGACAGTGATACGGACATTCTCGGTGGTTTCCTTATGTACATCGGACAGTTCGAGCCACGGATGGTTCTTCTTCTGCCACGCACGGAGAGTCTCCTGAGCTACGAAGCACGGTTCTTTGTTCGAATCGTAAGTCAGAAACTTGTCGAACAATTCGTGCTGCAGAGCCGCTTTCTCGTTTGTACTGTACGGCAATACATCCTCGTGTGCGACATAATCCAACCCGGGGATGGCGTACAAGCTGCGACTGCTTTCATGATTGCCCAGGAAGGTCACCGCTTCAGTTTGGGCGCGCTAAGTGATACACAAGGAGGTTGTACCGCTTGTGCGAAACGACATGCGAATTATTTTTCTCGTGTGTTACTTACTATGTAAGGACAATCTCGCTGATCGATCAGGACTTGGTAAAACGTATGCGTTCTACCCTTAACTTCTTTACCAACACTGTTGAAATTATCATCTTTCCTGTGTAAATAAATGGGTTTCTGTTCGAGATTTTAGGCAGCATCACAGGTAATGAGTATTTATAAATGATTAATAGAGATCAATTGCAAATAGCACAGTAGAAACCATTAATTGGGAATTAATTTGTAAGAATAAACTGAAGAAAACACTATGTCTACATAAGTTGAAAATAAAGCATATAACTATGAATAATTATACATACTCTTCCTTCTTATTAGATATATCCCTGTCGTATACTCTGGCTAGCCATGGAAAGAGAATTACACCACGATAACCGAAGACTCTGTGCAAAATCAGCTGACCTGTCTCATACTTTCCTTGTAGTTTTGGTGTTTCCAGTTTTCCAACCTCGGCTAATCTAGAGAAAACGTTAGATATACATTGTTGTCAATTGTTTAAATACTTCTTAACATCTCCTAACTATCATATATAAATTAGGAGAAGCACAATGTATAAGCGAATATAACGTAACTATTGCCAAAATCATATTGCGTCAAAGTTACTTTAACAGATTGTAGGACAGCTATTTTCCGTCTCTTTCTCACTCATTACGTGTGCGCACATAGGCACATACATAACCGGTTAAAAAGAAAGTAATTAACGATAATGAATACATCAGGGTAAGAATGTGTATAACAACAAATTTCTCCCCCACTGACAGTTCATTTCACAACAATCTGCAAGACAGCATCATTCGGCACACTCAAAGATTTATTTATCTCATTATACCTGATGTATCGCGCATGTTGCACGCAGAATCTCCCGGGCACCTTCAGGAAGGATCGTTTAAGGTTGTGGCCGACGAGAGTACGCATGAGTTCCATGATTTATGGGGAAAATATTGCAGATATTCGCAGGACAATAATCAGAGATTTACGTCGCAGGATGAAAAATAATGTGCGACAGTCGCCGTTGTAACGACATTTCTACTGATATTTTCCCATCATCTCGGAATACCGGAGGTTATACTGTTTATATTGCTGACATGACAGAAGTGGGGGCCAAAAATCCGTCCGACTCAACATTGAGTCGTACCACTGACGAATAAGAAGCGCCTGTTTCCCGCCGTCATGTTCGTCTTCGCGCCATTTGGACATTAGAAAGTGTGTCGTCCGGGATTATCGTCTATCGCTATCCTACCGAAAAAAATACAGCTCGATTAGTTCGATTATCTTGATACACACACGAGCGGCGTAACTAAGGTTCGATCACTTCGCTAAATTTATAATGTATAGCTTTTTAATGTAATGAAGGAAAATATCACGCGAAACGTAGAGAAAAATATCCCGCTAAACGTAGTTGTTGACAATCTTGCGACAATCGTTTCGTCCTTCTTTCAGCCACACAATTCTCACATATGGATACGTTAATATGCAATAAATGCTTCGTCCCGATGTACAGAGGGAAACAGCCATATCATATAACACAATGCGGTCACGTTTTTTGTCAGGACTGTTCGCAACAAGGTATCCGCATGAGAGCAAATCCCGCGAAACCGGTACGTTATTCCACATATTTTTTATGAATTCTACTAATCGTGGTCTTGTCGCGTTTTCGCAGCCGAGAAGCAATGCACGCAGTGCGAAACCTACAACGTCATATCAGTACCACTGAAAGAGCCGTTGGCGCCCATGTTGAGTCCCTTCTTCGTACCGCTCGAGGAAACTCTCGAGATATTGCGGAGGGTCGATGTGTTTCGGACCAACCAAATGAAAATAACTATGAAGCGCTTTCATGAACTTGTATACATCACAGTCTATCTCTTATTCTCATCTTAAAGTTTCGAGATTCTCTCATGGCGTTTTCGATTTGTCGGCTCGGTCACCGTTCCGATAATCTCTGCGGTACTACGATCCGCACAGAAAAAATAAGCCTTAAAAATTAGTCTTAAAATAAAGGATAGATATTCTCATCTATAAGCAAAAATATTATAATCTTCTTAAAACATTTTCAGTTTTGATTTGATCGCATTTGTATCGATACAAGTCTTACTTGAACTCAATTCAAGGCTAAAAATCTTCCAAGAATATTATACTATTCTTATTGGTATATAAAAGTATATACCTTGACTTCAGTATAATTTTCTTCTCTGTCTAATTCATATTGTGTATATTATAGTTTACGTTTCATTGTAACGATTATCGGAATATCCGCGGCCTGATTTTGCAACTTCTTAAAGATAATATTACCAATAATAGCCAAGAGCATTACGCAGCTTTTCTATCATATACCTGCATAACAGCGTACGGTGTACGGCGATAACGGAACTGTCGTTAATAGTTACGCTACAGGCCTACTGATTCGGATCAGCACATTGAAAACAACATTACTCTATTTTTATAGTCCTCGCTTGTCATATCTTTGTATCACCACGATTGCCTTTTAAGGACAAGAAATACGAGATGACGAAGAATCAGTATTGGATCGCGCGAAAACAAATGATCGAGCTCGCGAACAAATTGAAGAATATGAAGTTGGAAAAGGAGAGACTCGACAAGAAACTACTGTTCGCAGAGGTTCCGAGGCAACGGCCTTTTTTAGAGAATTCTTTTAGAGAGTCCAACACGACGATGACACCGAAAAATTCCAGTATTTTTATTCGTCCATCTAGCTCAGGGTAAGACATAAACATCCGAAGAACAATCGATTTATGTCGCGTGCGTTCGAGTAAAAAATGATTATATTAAAGGCGGAAGGCTTCAGTATTTACATATGATCATTCTTTTTTTTTACACACTGACGTTTGCATTATTTTTCGATATTCGAAAGGGCTCCTTAATCTATCATATTCCTCATTGTTGATCGTAGATATTCCTCAGAATTGATGGAGATACAATCTGTCGATGTAATCCCCATGCAATCGAGAGAAGTCAGGAGACACTACAAACCCGCCGACGGTTTTCGAGTGCCTATCAAACGCAAAAATATGTCATCCAAGATTTCCTGCGATACAGACACGAGCTTGAATAGCCGCTTTATGAGATAAAATTTTTCTTTCAAGTTTTTTTCTTCTTGACAATTATGTATCTGTTATTCCGAGTTTATTCCTTATCTCGTGCAATTTATTTTATGCACGAGCGAGAAGAGTGATGTAAGTTTATTTTTTTCTTTTTATAATTATGGATTATTTGTACAGTGACAATCTTCGTTACACAACAATAACAGAAAACGGAAAAATAATTAATTATCGGTTACGGAATTAATTTTTATACGACACGTTTTCTACTGTTTTAGTTTCTCTGCTTAAATAAGTTATATGTTGTTAATTTCACTTCACATAATGTGTTTTACTATCGACTGTAAAGTGCAAAATAAGAAAATGTAAACAAACTTTTAATGTACTATCAGACATTTCTTTTTTTTTCCTTTTTGTTCTATTTGTTACTAAACATATAATGCAAAATTTATTAATATGAAATATTAATAAATGTACGCACAAATATAATAAAAAGTATACGTATAAAATGGAAATATCATCTTTTTCTATTACGAAGAACAAACAAAATTTAATTAGTTACAATTTTCTCCAAAATACTGATACTGAGAAGTTTTAAGATATATTTTTAAGCATAAAGTCCCTATTGTTATATATTGTTATATAAGTCACTAAAGTTTTATGATAGGTCTATATTTAAATATAATATGTTATAATATAATATATATTATTAGATATAAAAAAAAATAATCGATAAATATCGACTTTATTCGACGACCGATCGTATGGTATATACCACCTATCACCGTATCATCTTTCATGACGGTTAATTTCAATCGTACTTAACAATCGTACGTTTACAATCGTACATAAGAGGTTACAAAAACGTTTTATAAACATCATAACAAAAAACTTTGAATAAAAACTTTGTGACGTAAGCAATTGTAGCATGCTATTATGATGATTGTATAATTAATATTCAATTCAGTTGGGTGGAAACGAAGGTTCAAGGCAGAGATACATTTATCATCATGATGTACGGACAGAGAGTGGCTTTCTGCGTAATACTTCTTCTACTACTGAAAATAACATATTTCCATGTTTTGGGCAAACAGAATCACTTAATGCCGGAACAATGGGAATTGGAAGATATGCCGTTTTTGCCCATTATTTTCGCCAATTCGGAATATTTGTCGGATGGACCGTGCAAGGAAGACACGCTGATATTTTTACATGATCTACTTAACGGCTCCGCATGGGCTGTGCAAAGTAAGTTTTTACAAATTAAGGTAAATTAGGTAATTTTTTTAATAAAGTAAGATTACATTAAGATATTGTGAAAAATCTTATTGGAATATCCCACGCGGTGGAAAAAAGATCATGTATGAAATTTGCCCATATGTGACTATATATAATCAAATATGTTGACAATATTTGAACCAATCATTAAAAATAATATTTCTACAATACGATTTTAATATTTAGAAATAATATATCATCAAGTAACAGTTTAAAATAACATCGAAAATGATATGTCAAAATGCTTATAAATTCCACATAAAATTAATATTTCATATTATTGGTTTAATGTTTCTTGCTTACTGGATATATATATATATATATATATTATTAAAGATATTACAATAACTTCTCTATTTTAGTGTTTGATTCTTCGACGAAATATCCGGAGGGTATATTATACGGTCATACAAGACACTTTGGAAACTTCGATGAATGTTACAATCTGCAAGTTAATATCGCGGAAGGAAATACTAATATTCGCGAAATCAATGGCAAATACTGTTTAGTCAATATTGAATATGAGAAAAAACATGCAACTTCGATTCATCAAAAAGTATCAAAATCAAAATACCACAACGATACTTTAGATAAAAGATATTCTTTTTGGAAAGTGATAAAGGTACAATC